TGGTCTGTCTGACCCCAAACTTTTATTAATGTGCCATCACTGTTTCAATGGTAGGAGAGAAAAATGTTGATGGATGTGACATTTAAATCTTTTCTATTTCTTTGTTATTTTTTATCTTTTCTTAAAATTTTTATTTATTTATTTTTGAAAGAGAGGGCATGCACGTGGGGGAGGGACAGAGAGAGAGGGAGAAAGAGAATCCCAAACAGGCTCTGCACTGATAGTGCAGACCCCTACGTGGGACTCGATCCCACAAACTATGAGATCATGACCTGAGCCAAAATCAAGAGTCAGACACTTAACTGACGGAGCCACCTAGGCACCTGTTTGTTATTTTTTAAATAAAATTTTAAAATTTGACCACCAAGTTGGTACATACCAACCGTCTCCTGGCATACTTTTTTTAAAAAGTGACTTTTTAATTATAAAGTTAATATTACTCAGGGCACCTGGGTGTCTCAGTCGGTTGAGTGTCTGACTTTTGATTTCGGGTCATTATCTCACAGTTTATGAGTTTGAGCCCCCACACTGGCAGCATGGAGCCTGCTTGAGATTCTCTCTCTCTCTCTCTCTCTCTCTCTCACTCTCTCTCTCTGCCCCTCCCCCCCTCAAAATAAATAAACTCAAAAAAAAAAAATAAAGTTAATATTACTCAACAAAGTTTGGAGAATATAGACATGTAGAGAGAAGTAAAAGAAACAAAACAAAATCAGATGATTTTTTGACCATTGTTAAAATTTATGGTGTTCCTCTCCACTCTGCTATGAATAACATACATTTTGCATTTTACACTGAAGTTCCCAAACTGCATACCTGTTTAACATTACAAGCATTTTCATCCTTTTATTTTATTTTTTTAAGTAGGCTCCATGCCCAACATAGGGGTTGAACTCACAACCGTAAGATCAAGAGGTGCATTCTCTGCTGACCAAGCCAGCCAGGTGCCTCTGTCCTTTTATTAAGTAGGTTGCATTACCATCGATTTAAGAACTGTGAAATATTACATCCCATAGGCATACCTTATTTTTTTTAACTGTTCTGTTCTTGGTGATTTCTTCTAAATTTTGCTGTTGGAAAATATTTCTTCAAGTATCTTGGAGCATATAGCTTTGTCCTAATTTAGGACTACTTCCCTGAAATTAATTCCCAGAAGAGAAATGCCTGGGTCAAAAGGCCTGGACGTTACTGAAGCCTTTGATGCATATTGCCAAACGGCTTTCCGAAAGATTTTAGCAAGTCATTTTCCCACCAGAAATACAGAAGTATCCATTGCCTACACTGACAATTTCAGTGTCACTAGTTTTTTAAACTTCAGAATTGAAAGGCTATTAATGGCCTTTTAGTTTGCACTGCTTTGATTACTTGTGAGGTAGAAAATGTCCCATGTTTATTGTGTTTTATCTGTCTCCACTGACCAGTTATTGGGTCTGTTTGTTATCAATGTTCAGTGTTCTTCACATAATAGAAAATATTAACCCATTGTCTATAAAACATTTCCTCAGTCTGAAGTTTGCCTTTTAATGCTGGGTATGATTTTGGAGTAGGGTAAGGTTTTGTTTGTTTGTTTCCAGCAATAGAAGTTAAAGAATGTTTTTTGGGGGGGGGTGCCTGTGTAACTCGGTTGGTTAAGCCTCTGGCTCTTGATTTCGGCTCAGATTATGATCTCACAGTTCGTGGACAGAGCCCCGCATTTGGTTCTGTACTGATGCATGGAGACTGCTTGGGATTCTCTCTCTTCCCTTTCCCCGCTCACATGCTTGTGTTCACTCTCTCTCTCAAAATAAGTAAATAAACATTAAAAAAAAGAAAACACTCTTTAAAAAAAAAAGAATGTTTTTCTGTTTTGCACATAACCTTGTCCATCTTTTCCATAGGAATTCTTCCATTCTCTCTAATCTTAGAAAACCTTTCACCCCTCCAATGGCTTATTTTCTGTGTGCGAGAACTGATGGACGTGTCTGAGCTGTTTGGTCATCTTTTTTTAATAACAAAGGAGAGAAGAGGATTTTTTCCTTTTTCCTTCATCTATTTGACTGTCCTTGACTTTTTGTTTTAGTACCATGAGATATGCTCATTGGGGGTTGGGACTGTAGGAGGAAATGTGTATGTAAATACATGCATCCCAAAAAGTCTGGAGGAATAGGTACCAAAAAATACTAATACTAGTTATTTCTGATTGATGGGAGCAGGGCTGGGATAGATGTGTTATTCATGCCTGCCCAGCATCTTTATTTCCTTTTGGCAAGACACGCCTCTTCACCCCTTGACTCTGGTGTGGCTGCCCATGACAGTACATTTACCCAATACAGTACTTCATTTCCCTGGCAATAGTTTGTCTGGGGCCAAGGGGTAGGCATGTTACTCTAGCAGAATTCATCAGAGTCCTTCCCTGAGACTGATATATGAAAACTGGGTCGAGCTTTCCTGCTGGGTTGCATTGGAAAGCTGAGACTACCTCACACCACCTTTCCTGCCAGGCAGAGCTCACTCTGCAGAGGAAGGGAAACCAACGTGCAGAGAAATTGAGACAAGGAGAGATACAAGAAAGCAAATGCTGGGGCACCTGGGTGGCTCAGCCAGTTAAGCGTCCGACTTTGGCTCAGGTCATGATCACACGGTCTGTGAGTTTGAGCCCCGTGTCGGGCTCTATGCTGACAGCTCAGAGCCTGGAGCCCGTTTCAGATTCTGTGTCTCCCTCTCTCTCTGACCCTCCCCCATTCATGCTCTGTCTCTCTCTGTCTCAAAAATAAATAAACGTTAAAAAAGATAATAATAATAAAAAAAAGAAAGCAAATGCTATGAGCCCTGTGTCTCCAGTTCCAGTCTCCAAGACCCTGATCCATGTTGTTTTTCCCTCAATCTTGCAGTCAGCTATTGTGAGCCACAGGTCCCTCTTTGGTGAAGCTGGCTTAGGTTAGGATTCTGCTACTTAGCAAGTGAAAGAATCTGATCAGTGACAAGGATGGTCTTTGTGTGTTTTTAGTATCTTATGTAATTATTTGCCTAGTAGAAATATTTTTTTAAAAAGACAGAGAATGTATTTGTTCAAAAAGGAAAGTGTAAGTGCCCTCAGACATGCTCAAAAGCAGGCAACGTGTAAAACAGAGCATAAAAGGTGTACAAGTCCTCGAAAGGACAGAGGCCACCTTATCACCTCAGAAATGTTGTCAATGAGATAAACAGGAATTTGTAGTGAAATAATTCTAGATCAATGGGTGTATTGGTGGTCTAGGGGAGAGTAGGGCCTCAGCCCTGGGTAGGAGATATGTTTTCCCATGAACTAGGAAGTCTGAGATACTGAGATTCAGGACAGGGAAACTGACCTGTGTCCCCTGCCCCTGGACAATCAGGTCCCTTCTCTGAGCCTCAGTTTACACTAAGTCTAGCTCTCACATCTGAACCCGTATGGTATTCCAAGCATTTCACATTTATTATCTCATAGAATTCTCAGTTGGTCACATATTCCCATATTCCAAATGGAAAAATTGAGGCTCAGAGAGGTGAAATGTGACTCAGATAAGTCAGTCCCTTTTTTTCTTTAGTGTTTATTTATTTTGAGAGAGAGAGAAAGAGAGAGAGAGAGAGAGAGGCAGAGGGGCATAGAGAGAGAGGGAGAGAAAGAATCCCAACTGATTGGGGATTGATTGATCCCATGAACCTTGAGATCATGATCTGAGCAGAAATCAAGAGTCAGACACTTAATGGACTGAGACACCCAGGCACCTCCAGATAAATCAGTCTTTAAAGCCTTTCTAGGAACCTCAGCCATCATCCTCTCTCATCTGTAAAATGGGCAAAAATGGGCATAGTACATCAACCACCCCTGATCTAGTCCCAGGGAAAAGAGAAGTAAAAGCCAGCTGAAATTGAGTTGGGGTCAGAATCATCCTCTCCCCAAGTCCTGCTGGAAAATGCACAAGTTTGGGGCAGTGGGAGGTGATGGAGGAAGAGTGGGAGTCGAAGCATGTGCCTCCTCTGACTGGCCCCAGTCCAGCCCCACCCACACTTCCTTTGAGTTGCTCCCTCGCTCACCCTGCACCAAATTTCTTCCCAAGGAAAGCCTTGCGCAAGAGGACCTTGGTCAGGTCCCTTGGACCCCTGCCGACATCCCAGGAGCATTTTGTGCTCCACCCCCCGCTCCAAACCTGGCGCCTAGCCATCAACCCCAGGAACCCAGCCTGTCACGTGGCGCTTTGGTCTCTGGCTTGCTTCCTCTGGGATCCTGATTTAACTCCCTCTCCTCCCTTCCCCCTCCCAGTCCCAAGCCCTCAGGGCACCACACCTATTTTGAGGGGCAGGTGCAGGGGACTGGAACTTCAGCTCAGCCTCCCGAAGGAAGGGACTTACGGGTCTGTTTTTCTGCCTGTCAGCTGGGGACCCCACCCTACGACTGTCTCTATTCTCTTCACTGTTTACTCTTGCTTTCCCCTTTCTCTACGCCCTCCATCACCACCCCCCCACCCCCCACCCTCCAACCCGCGTCAGTCTCCTGAGCCCTTTTGAGGGCCTGATTCCCTTCTGGGCACTGGGGGAAAGGGGACGGTGAGAAGAAAGGGGAGACAGAACCCAAGATTCCCAAGGGAGCTTCCAGGACTAGTCTGAAACTCCACAAGGCGACAGGGTGGAACTGGCCAGACTCTGGCATCACACAGACCTGGATTCGAATTTAATTTTGCCTCTGACCAACTGCTGATTTTGAACCCTTCATCTCTCTGGACCTCAGTTGTCCCCTCTGTGAAATGGGGGCCCTACGGAGAGGAAGGGAGGGAAAAGTCCAGAAGAGGAGCTGACCTGAACTAGGGGCTTCCCCTCCAACCGCCGCGCCCCTTCCCCAGCCCGGGAGCGCAGCTGTGCCTCCCAGTCCCTCGTCCCTCCGCCGCAGGCTCCTCCTCCACTGACATCAGAGCCGCAGGCGGGCGGAGGCAGCCAGCAGAGCCCGAGCCGAGCCTCAGCGAGGGAGCGAGCGGGCGGGCGGGCCAGGCGCGGAGCGGCGGCAGACAGCAGCCGGCAGCCAGAGCTCAGCGGCAGCCACTTCGGGCCTTCCAGCCAGCCCCGCGGCGGGGCAGCCGCAGGTACAGCCCGGGGGCCAACCCGCCTGTGCTCCTGGGATCCGAGGAGGGGCGGCTGGACCCACCAGCCGCTGGATCCTCTCCCCCAGGGATGGGATAGGTGCCTAAGGGGGCTAGACTCTGGATGGGCAGGGCAGGGCAGGGCCTTTCTCTCCTACCTCTGCCCCCGGGCCCCGCAGGTGCCAGGCGGCCGGTGGGGAACTGAGTGGGTAATGTCGGAAGGTGGGAAGGGTGTGCGTGTGGGTGCGCCTGCGTTCAGATGGGTCTGAATGTGGAAGGACTGGGCATTGGAGCTATAAATATGTGGGGCCGTGTTGGGGTGTGCTAATGTCTTAGCACAGGCGTGTGCATCAGATACGGAGCTACAGTGTAAGGGTATCCTTATGGGTGGGGATATCTGGGAATCTGTTTTTGTTGCAGATGTGTGTCCAGGTGTTGTGCATGCTAGCATCTGGCTCAAGGGTGGTAAGAGTGGAGGCTATATGTGTATTGAGGATGTTTGAAGTTAGGTATGTAAGGAGTTGGGGTTCAGTTTGGAACATAGGAGCTTTTAGGGTGTATAGAAACAGGATGAAGGGTATGAGTGTATCTGGGATGTCTGGTACATAGGTGAGGAATATGTGTGTGTGTGTGAGAGAGAGAGAGAGAGAGAGAGAGAGATGTGGTCTGAGTGTGTGCAGATGTGTGTTTTGGGGGTGTAAGAGGGATCTGTGGGAGGGATGTTGGGATGTGAGGATGTCAGGGGGAGTGTATCTTTGGACATGTGTGCTGATGCCTGGGTACACATGTATGATCAGGTGTTGGGGTATCTGGGGATGGAATGTACTGAATCTGGGGCAGGTATTGTGGGTGGAGCTTGGTGTGGTGTGTCCAGGTGCAGAGATATGTGTGGAACTAGAAGGGTTGTATTTGCCAGGCCTCCAAGTGGGCTTTAAAACTGTGTTTCTAGAGCCTACCATCATATCTCCTTTCCTAGAAGTTTCTTGCCCCTGGGATGGGTGGCTAGGACCCCCTGGAAACAAGGTCCTATCCAAGGAGTGGGGTCTCACACCAGGGACTCTAGTCAGGACACCTTCCTTTCATTCTCCCACAGGGGAAACAGGAAGTGCCCTCCTTGAGGTCACAGAGCATACTGGGTCTGAATGGGCTCCAGTCTGGCTGCATATTGGAAGGACAAGCTGAGAGTGGCCCTGTCAAAGTCCTTGGCACTCAGCAAGCTTAACTGGGCCCCAGCCAGTCATCATTTGGGCAACTTTGGACCCAGTCCATATCTGTCTCCAACCTCAGTCTCCCTATTCTCCATCTGATAAATGGGGAGAGAACTCCCTGCTGACAGAGGTCTCTGAAGAAAGGTGCAGGCTGGAGCAGGGTCAGAAGAAGCCAGGAGGGGACAGACTGGGTAGGACCATTTCTCAGGCTTCTGGGACCCAAACAGGGAGCCAGAAGGGAGAGGGGGTATAATAGGTGGCCTGGGGAGCTCCAGCTGTGGCTGCTGTTGCCGTGGTAACAGTGCAGAAGGAGCTATTTAAAAACGTGGCTGAGATATTGCTGGAAGCCCAGACTGCCGGAAACCTGATTTCCGAGAGACTGGGTGGAAGAAGAAAGAGGAAGGAGAGGAGACACCCCAGCAATTCCCAGGGTGGGGCTGGGACATTCCTGGTTCTGGAGACAGGGGGAACCCTCCAGGGCTGTGCACTTACTTGTACAAGCTGCTCTGGGGTCTTCTCTGCTGTTCTCCTGGAGGTCAGTGTCCTCCTGAGTGTTTTGATTTGGAGAGGGAGAAACCTGGAGCTGAATAAATGAACAAATGACTTTGTTGAAAAAAGAATTCTGCTGCCACCTTGAAGGATTTTCCTTTAGGCATGAGGATTTGTTGGGTGAACAAAAGACTAGTGAGTGAGTGAGTTTGCTGAATAACTTTGTCAAATGAATGAATCAAGGAATGAATACATGCAGGCTGAATGACTGAATGGGGCCTCAATTCCCTGAGTCCCAACATAGAAGGCTGGGCCCTACTGAGTCTTTTCCCTTCATTTCCCTTCTCAGGAGCCCTGGCTGTGGCCAGGGGGCAGTGGGCCATGCCGGGAGCAGTGGACGGCCCCAGCTGGAAGCAGGTGGAGGACATTAGGGACATTTACGACTTCCGTGATGTTCTGGGAACGTGAGTCTCAGGGCAGGCAAGCGGGGGTGGAGGGGGAGGCTGTCTGTGAGCCGGGGTGTGGGGTTGGGAAGGTCCTTACTCTTGGGCCTGGCTGGCTAGGGCGACTGCATCCAGGGTGGTACTTCCTCTGGTCAGTTTATCACTGCTTCCTGTTTGCTATAGTCCAGGCCCTGCAGCGGCCTTGCCATGGCCCAGTCTGGCTCATCTTTTCACTTCTGGCTGACAGTGGGTGGAACAGAGGCTGCTCTTGGCTGCAGCTCTGGGTTCCTGTGAAGAGAACAAAGTAGGGGAGAATGAAGGAGCCAGTCTTTCCAATGTTTGGCCAAGAGCTGGGGATTTTGGCCTAGGTTTAGGAAACGAAGCTGGGCATGGCTCTGTTCTCAGTGGTGGGAATCCAGAAATAACTCAAACCTGATCTTTTCCCCTCAAGTTGATCCTCAACATGTGATGGAAGTACACCCAGGGAAAATGACAACAGGGTATATGATGTGTTCCTGTTAAAGTCAGGAATGAGGACTTTGTAGAGCTCAGAGTGGTAGCTACTGCCTAGAGCTAGGGACTGAAGGATGAGTAGAAGTGCACTTATCAGAGAGGGAGAAGGGCATTCCAGCCAGAAGGAAGAGCCTAAGCAAAGGCTGAGAAGCATGTTATGTGTGGAAAGAGGTGAAGAATGATAGAGTTGTAATCAGAGGCTAGGGGAAGAGTGGAAGATGCTTCTCTCTGAGAAGAGAGAACAGGTCATGTAAGACCTTGAAAGCCAAGCTATGGGGGCTGGACTTTATCTCATGGACCATAGGAAGACATTTAAGATATTTTGATGGGTTTGCAATTCAGGATAGTCACTCTGGCCAAAGCATGGAGGGTAAATTGGAGAGGGACATGACTAGAAACCAGCATTGAGGCTATCACAGTCACTAGTTATTCTGATGATTGAGATTTTGCCATGAGAGATGCTTTTCTTTGACTTAGACTTCTTATCCCAGGCAACACAAATAGTCCTAGAAAGAAGATGCTAGGAAATCCTCCTTCATCAGTGAACTTTAGTACATGAGTTTGTTCTTTTCTAACTAACTTGTAAAATATTGCTTCTCAACAATCAGTGAGCATACAGATCATCTGAGGATCTTGTTAAAAATACAGATTCTGATTTAGTAAGTCTGAGGTTAAGGCCCGAGATACTGCACTTCTAAAAAGTCCCCAGGTGATGCTGATGGTTCTTCAAATTTATAAAAGGGGTTAAGTAAACCATGACTGAAATTGTAGCAGAAAAAGAAATGAATCAATTTTGCATGGATCAAAATGCCCAGGGCATAAACTTCAGGCATGGCTGGATCCAGGGGCTCACATGATGTTATCAGGAAATTATCTTTGTCACCGGGAAATTTCTTAGCTCTGATTTCATTTGTGTTGCCTTCATTCTCAAGCAGGCCCTCCTCAAGTGGTGGCAAAGATAACCACCAAAAGCTCCAGGGTTGCATCGTATCAGCTTGGAAGGAAAAAGAGCACCTTATTCTCAAAGTGCCAGTAACCTGGCTTGCATCACGTGACCCAATTAATGTAGCCAAGGATAGACTATTCTGATTGGCCAGCCGTGGGTCACGTGACCACCTCAGGGACCAGGGGTTGGAAGAGTGATGTAGGGAGGCTCATCTCATCTTCATGGTCCACAGGTGGTCATGATACCCATAGGGGTATGAAGGAAGGGCTGAAGGGAAGCTAAGGTTCCAGTTCCTCACCTCATGAATCCCCTTTCTTTGCAGGGGGGCCTTCTCAGAGGTTATCCTGGCAGAAGATAAAAGAACTCACAAGCTGGTGGCCATCAAATGCATCGCCAAGAAGGCTCTGGAGGGCAAGGAGGGCAGCATGGAGAACGAGATCGCTGTCCTGCACAAGTGCGTGGACCACACTGTCTCTGTGTGGGTTGACCCTGCCTTGACTCCTCCTATTCTCTTCCTACCTCTGCTTTGGGCAAATCATTTAACCTGTGAGCCTCAAATTGCTCATTTATAAAATGGGGTAATAATCTCCACTTGGTAGGATTGTGGAGCACTTTAGAGGTCCCTTTATTTCAGGTGTCTGCTGCAACAGCTAATGCCACTGCTTGTTTATAGTGGCTTAACTTGTTCATTCAGATCTAAAAGTCAATCCTTGAATGTAGCTTAGACCATCACATCTCAACTGGTGTTACTGAAGACCTACCTCAATTCCCCGTACATATTAAAGCCACTCAGGAAGTTCAAAAATACCTGTCTCACAGCCCCCTGACTAAATCAATAACCAACTGTCTATGATTTGCTTATACTTGTGTGTAACCTGCTGCCCTCACTGGAAAGCTTATGGAGAACCTTCACTTCTATCCTCTTGCCTGAGTTTTCCAACCACCCTGGTCAGGGATTAACTGGTCATTTCCACTATTGGGTGTGGGAGGGGGCCTGAGGTCCAGAGAGGGTAAGGGATTTGCCCAAGGTCACAAAACAACTTTGTGGCAGAGCCATGGCCCCTGTCAAGCTCAGTCACCATCATCGGTTCATTTATTGAGCATTCACTGTGTGCCAGACATTGTGCCAAGATTCTTACCTGCATTTTCTCACGTGATCCTCACTCCAACTCTTTGAGGGAAGTACTGTCACTGGCTTCATATTATAGATAAGGAAACAGGCTTAATATTCAATGAATAAGTGAGCACTTACTCTACACCCGGTGTGGGAGGAACAATGGTAACATAAAGCTCCTGGTCTCCTGGAGCTGGCATTCTGGTGGGGGAGGCTGATAAACTTATAAACACAGACACTTTTTATTTTATTTTTTAATTAATTAATTAATTAATTAATTATTATTATTATTTTTTTTTAAGGTAGGCTCCATGCCCAGTGTGGAGCCCAATGTGGGGATTGAACTCAAAACCCTGAGACCAAGGCCTGAGCTGAGATCAAGAGTCAGATGCTTGGGGTGCCTAGGTGGCTCAGTCAGTTAAGCTTCTGACTTTTTTTTAAACGTTTATTTATTTTTGAGAGACAGAGTATGAGCAGGGGAGGGGCAGAGAGAGAGGGAGATACAGAACCTGAAGCAGGCTCCAGGCTCTGAGCCGAAGTTGGACGCTTGACCAACTGAGCCACTCCAAGCTTCTGACTCTTGATCTCAGCTCAGGTCATGATCTCATGGTTCACGAGTGTGAGTCTGTGCTGTCAGCACAGAGCCTGCGTGGAATTCTTTCTCTCCTCTCTCTCCCTCTCTTTCCACCCCCTCCCCCGCACGTGCACACTCTCTCTCTCTCTCTCTCAAAATAAATAAAAACAAAGAATCACTTGCTTAACCGGCTGAACCACCCAGGCACCCAGAAACATGTTAAAATCATATATTGATCAGTGTTGTGAGGTAAAAAGATTTGTCCCCAAATAGCACATAGTGGAGGCAAGTTAGACCGAGGTGTGTCTGATGCCAGAGCCCAGTGTTTATCTCTCTGTGCTCTCCTACCTTCCATTACATCATAATAAATCATGGTGAATCAGCTTTTCCTTTTGGGACCCAGAACCCTGGTTTGTCCTGCCTAGGTCTACAGTGGTGGTTCTTCAAGGTGAGTGTAGGAAAGTGGCTGAGCTATCCTCAGCTCTGAACCACCTCATTTCTCCTTTCAGGATCAAGCACCCCAACATTGTAGCCCTGGATGACATCTATGAGAGTGGGGGCCATCTCTACCTCATCATGCAGCTGTGAGTGGCCTCACCCCTTGCTCACATCTCTCCCCGCCGCCCCTTCCTAGCTTCTCTGGCCAGACTGCCCTGTCCTCGGCTGCAGGGTGTCCGGTGGAGAACTGTTTGACCGCATTGTGGAGAAAGGCTTCTACACGGAGCGGGATGCCAGCCGCCTCATCTTCCAGGTGCTGGACGCCGTCAAGTACCTGCACGACCTGGGCATCGTACACCGAGATCTCAAGGTGGGGTGCAAGGGTGTGTGGTGAGCTGGGGTGCCGAGTGCAGCCTCCACATACCCCTCATTGTGTGATCTGGGGCAACTCTTACCCCATCCCTGAGCCTCGGCTTCCCATCTGCAAAATGCACCCTGTAAACCCTAAACTGCCTCCTCCCATTCCGGTTTGGACGCTCAAATGGACACCCAGGTGAATGGTGCTGCTATTTTATCCAAATAGTGCCTTGGTCTTTTTTTGATAATAAAAGTCCCACTTTGCTCTTTGTAGAAAACTTGGATGGGACAGCAAAACATAAAGAAGGAAGCCAGAAGCCCCTGTGAAACCCTACACCTCAGAGACTATGATGGGGTTCACATTTTGTAGTACATCTCCTCCAGTCTAGAAGAGCGCTGGGGTGAGACAGATCTGGACTTGAATTCTGTCCCTGCTACTCCCTAACTGTAGGTTCTCAGGCAAGCCCTTTGCCTCTCAAGGCATCAGTTTTCTGACCTGTAAAGTGGGATTAGGCAGACTGGCCTGATAGGGATGTGGTAAGGATGAAATCAAGCACTAGCACAAGATCTGGCACAAAGTAGGTGCTTGAAAATTCTTTAGGGCTTCACAATACAAATCTGGCTTATGGAAAACTCCCACTCACATTCCCAAGTCCCTTGTCTTTTCTGGCCCTTGTCTTTGAGAACTTCCTTGAGTTTCTTGTGCCTCCAACCAAGATGGCAGCTGTGAAGCCACAGTGGCTTTTGGGGTGATGTCTTTGAGGTGGTGCTTGGAGAAGCAGAAGGTTCTGCCAGCCTCTGGCCATCTCTACCTCTTCCTTCCCCTCCACCTTCCAAGCCAGAGAATCTGCTGTACTACAGCCTGGATGAAGACTCCAAGATCATGATTTCTGACTTTGGCCTCTCCAAGATGGAGGACCCTGGCAGTGTGCTCTCCACAGCTTGCGGGACCCCAGGATATGTGGGTATGGAGCACCCTGGGCGGGGGCCATGGATAGGGGAGAAATCAGAAGCTGCAGGGCAGAGATCTGTCACCACCATGTCTCCTTCCTTCCATAGCTCCTGAGGTCCTGGCCCAGAAGCCCTATAGCAAGGCAGTGGATTGCTGGTCCATTGGGGTCATTGCCTACATTCTGTGAGTAGGGTCTTGGCCATTGGGGCATGTGGCTCTAGCATTCTCCTCTCCCCTACTTTGCCCTCTTTCTCCTCTCTCCTATTTCTTCCTGCCATCCAAGTGTATACCTACCTATTAATGACTAATATTATTTCATTCAACACATACTATGTTTCTGGCACTGTGCTAAGTACTGGGGATTTAAGAGAAGAAAACAAAGTGCCTGCCCTGAGAGAGCAAAAATTCTAGTACAGTAGACAGACAATAAACAAGTAAATCTATAAAATGTCAGGTAGTAAAATACTATGAAGAAAAATCAAGCAGGGTTAGGGAGATGGGGATGGATGCCATTTTAGGTAAGGAGGTCAGGAAAAAAGGCATTTCTTAGGCTATCTCCTGGATGAAGTGAGGGAGACAGACATTTGAGGTGTGGGGGAAGACATTCGAGGTGTGGGGGCAGAGGGAACAGCAAATGCAAGGCCCTGAGGAAGGAAAGAAGGTAGCAAATTAAGAAACAGGCCAGTGTAGCTGGACAGGAGTGAACAAGGCACAGAGGGGCAGATTTCCCCTTTGTAAAAGGGGGAACTGCTTCCTGTGGGTGTTGCCTGACTCTTGAGACTACCTCAAAGCTCCATATTGGAGCCAATGGGTACACTGAAAGTGGAAATGAGGAGGAGTTTCTCCCTGCCCAGGCTCTGCGGTTATCCCCCCTTCTATGACGAGAATGATGCCAAACTCTTTGAACAGATTTTGAAGGCCGAGTACGAATTTGACTCTCCTTACTGGGACGACATCTCTGACTCTGGTATTTGATGCTTTGCCATCTTCCCCTGGGCCCTACCTCTGGTCAGACTCCCCAGCCCCAAACTAAGAGCTGTCTTTGAGACCAGACACCAAGCACCCCAGGTGCTTCCCTCTGCCTGGCCCCAGGCTGAGAAACTTGTAGGCATTCGTTCAGTCTTCAAAACTAGTATTTTTGAAAATACCACACCCAATGACTTCATTATGCCTGAAATACCACCATAGAAGTTTTCATATGTTCTTTTGTACCTCTTACTAGGAGGCAAAACTGTGAAGCCATTATTGGTCACTTACACATCAGTGTGAATATACTGAGCAGAATCTTTTTTAAGAACAAGTTTTTTTTAAGGGAAAGAGGAGAGAACTGGAAGGCTGGGGTGGGTGGGGGGAGCTTAGAGACTAAGAGTACAGGTGGGGTTGGGCGGTACATACACAGATCTGGCCTCTTGTCTTGCTTGGATGCCAGGCCAGACCCAAGGGGGTGGGTTTTGTGTTGGGGGTATCCACAGGTACCATCATGCTATTTCTCTTTGCTGTTTTCTTGGGGATTCAGCCAAAGACTTCATCCGGCACTTGATGGAGAAGGATCCAGAAAAGAGGTTCACCTGTGAGCAGGCCTTGCAGCACCCGTGGTGAGAGCTCCAATAAGCTGCAGGCTGGGGTGGGGTCTGGGGCCCCCAAACCTGTCTTTGCCTTCATAGACAACCCTCCACACACCCCTATCCTAGGATTGCAGGAGATACGGCTCTAGATAAGAATATTCACCAATCGGTGAGCGAACAGATCAAGAAGAACTTTGCCAAGAGCAAGTGGAAGGTGAGCCCATGTCCCTGGTCCTGGGTCCCAGCCTCCCCAGACGTCCTCCCCACCTCTCTCCAGGCCTCAGCTCACACAGCATCTAGCACCATGTCACAGTAACTGCTCAGGGACACTTACAAGAACTTCATTCATTCATTCATTCATTCAACACTCCCTGACACTCTATCCCAGTGAGTCCCTGACTGCCAAGAACAGTATAATTCTTTTTTACTGTTTGTTTGTTTATTTATTTATTTATTTAGAGAGAGAGACTGCGAGTGGGAGAAGGGCAGAGAGAGGGAGGAGAGAGAATCCCAAGCAGCCTCCATGCTCAGTGTGGAGACTGATTCGGGGCAAGATCCCATGAGCCATGAGATCTTGACCTGAGCCGAAATCAAGAACTGGATGCTTAACCAACTGCACCACCCTGGAACACTATAATTCTTAAAGAGACATCTACTCCAACCTATGGGGTCCTGGAAGGGACATATGATGGCCTGATAGACCTGTCAGACCTGACAGCTGAGTAGGAATTAGCCAGGTACAACAGAACAATGTCTGAGGCAGAGAGGACCAGTATGCAGAAGTCCAGGGGCAAGAGAGTGAGTATGTCCATTCAGGGAAGTGCAAGTAGTAAGTCTGGATGGAATGGAGGGGCTGTGGGGCAAGAGCCCAGACTGGAGATGGAAGTAGAGGTCTTGAGTGCCACAGTGGAGAACTAACTTGGTCCTAAGGACACTGAGGAGACCCAGGATTTTTAGCAGTAACCTGCCCTCTGGAAAGGGCTCTCAGGATGCAGAGAGAGGTATGGAGTTAAGGCTGGGAGACCCCTTAGAAGGCTATGGCAGAGATGTGGGCAGGAGACAGTGAGGGCTTGGACCAGAGAACAGTGGATGGCTCAGGAGTCCTTTAGGAGGTAGAATTGATAAGAAGTGATGGTAGAAGAGATGTTGGCAGAGAGAGGAGATGTCAAAGGCTGGCCCAAGATTTTGGTTGGGGAAAAGGTGAATGGTGGTACTGTTACTGAGATGGGGATCCCAGGGGCACACAACTGTCTTGGGGTGGATGACTATGGTTTTGGACATGGTGAATATGAAGGATATGTTAAATAGAGAATGATACACATACTGGGGTAAGTTATTTAACCTGTCTGTGCCTCAGTTTTCTCCTCTGGCAATGGTGACACTAATAGTATCCACCTCAAAGACTTTTGTGAAGATTAAATGAATTGCCAAATAAAGTGCTTAGAACAGTGCCTGACACATACTGCTATTTTAAGTGCTTGCTATGATGTGAATATGAATTTATACATAAAGGGTTGTATATACTTGTTCATGTATACACATTACACACACACACACACACACACACACACACACACACACACACACATATGCATGTATCTGTGTAAATATATAATGTGGCTGAATGTAATTTAATAAAGACCTTGTAGAGGTTTCAGGGAGTTTTAGGGGATCAACCAATAACACCTGAATGAAAATGACAAAACCACCCCATGAATCTCACTGCCAGACCCTGTCCCATGATCTCCAGCTCTCAAAAGTCCCTTCTACCCCTTCTCCCCACAGCAAGCCTTCAATGCCACGGCCGTGGTGCGGCATATGAGAAAGCTACAGCTGGGCACCAGCCAGGAGGGGCAGGGACCAACGGCGAGCCATGGGGAGCTGCTGACACCAGCAGCTGGGGGTGAGGACCAGTGCTCTGTGGAAGGGCATGGGTGGGAAGAGACATACAGGCTGGAGTGGAGGGTCTGCTCCTACGACCAATCTTGTTCTCTCTCCCCATGTAGGGCCAGCGTCTGGCTGCTGCTGTCGAGATGGCTGTGTGGAGCCGGGCTCAGAAATGTCCCCTACTCTGCCCCCCCAGCTCTAGGGCCCCAGATCCAGGGTCCAGATCCTTTGTGTGAGAGGGGTTGGGGCAGCCTGCTCCCCTTCCCTCCCTGAATTGGAGTTACCCAGCCTCACTGCCTTCCCACCCCTTTCCCTATCACTCCTCCACTGCATTTTCCATACAAATGTTTCTATTTTATTGTTCTTTCTTGTAATAAAGGGAAGAGATAAAAACATAGTAGCTCTGTCTCACCAGATAACCTCCACCCCACAATGTTGTGCAAACTACTTAATGTGAGGGTACCTGGCCCCTGAGGTAGCTGCAAGAAGCCCTCTTCCCAACACGAGACTGGATGGGGAAGAGAGGTGGGGAAAGGTATTTGGGGTATCCCTTTGTCCAGTGCCCCCCACCTAGCCTTCAAGGCCTGTAGATCTCCTGCGCTTTGCTGGTGGCTCCTGAGCTCGGTGGAGTTGGCGCAGGTCAGCACTGAACAGCACCTGGGGACAGTGGGGAAGGACACTGCATGGGGTCAGGGTACACGGGGTCAGGACTGATGGGGCCAGTGGCAGTGTGGAGAGGTATACAGGCAGCAGGGCCAGGGCGAGGAACATCCACTAGAGTCAGGACTGGGGTGGGTAAAGAGTCCAGTAGGGTCACCTGAAATGGTGGTGGTGGAAGGGTCTACAGGGTCAGGACGGGGGGAGGAGTCTTATGGGGTCTGGGCTGGAGGAGGAGAGGGAGCCTCAGAACACTTACTGCTTGGGCCCAGCCAGCATAAGGTCCCCACAGGCTCCGGAAAAAGTTTCCTATGCCAGAAGTGAAAAGGTGAAATTAATTGGCCTTCCTACTTATTCCCTATCCACAGGAGTGGGATTTTACAGAGAGGTATGAAAAGTTTCTACCACCTCAGCCCGCTGCTAGCCCCAGCATCCCACTCTCTCCTTACCCAGTTCCTTGTTAGCCTGGGGGCTTGGACCCTTGGCCTGGGACATGGTGGGGTGCCAGCTGTAGTCACGCTGGGCAATCTGCCACATATGGATATCCACGGGCACGGCCTGGGGCTTGTCTAGGGCCATCAAGCAGATGCAGTCAGCTACCTTTAAGAGACAAAGAGTGAGCCACAGAGGAGGAAAGGCAGGATCCAACCAGCATCCTATTTCTAGTCCCAAAGTTGGCTGCTTCCTCCTCCACTCTGAGGTTACTATTATTTTATATTTTTAATCAATACACACTCTCTTTTAATAATTTTAAAAATAGCTATGATGAGGGGTGCCTGGATGGCTCAGTTGGTTGAGAGTCCTACTTGTCTCAGGTCATGATCTCACGGTTCATGAGTCTGAAACCCATATTGGGCTCTGTGCTGACAGTTCGGAACCTGGAGCCTGCTTCGGATTCTGTGTCTCCCTCTCTCTCTGCCCCTTCCCAGCTGATGCTCCGTCTGTCTGTCTGTCTCTCTCTCTCAAAAATAAGTAAACATTAAAAAAATTTTTTTAAAATAGGTATGATGCGAGTGCCACTGTGTAAACATCTATGTAGGCCAGGTCCTCATCATAACCTGGGAAGAAGGCAGTTACTACATCTATTCTGCAGACAAAAAAGTGAGATTCCGAAAGATGAAGTGACTTGGCCAAGGTTACATGGCTAGGAAGAGGCATAACCAAGATTTAATGTTAGGTTGAGGTTCTTTAAAAATACTTAAAAAAAAAAAAAAAGTTTTTTAAACAAAACTCTAGGGGCGCCTGGGTGGCGCAGTCGGTTAAGCGTCCGACTTCAGCCAGGTCACGATCTCGCGGTCCGTGAGTTCGAGCCCCGCGTCGGGCTCTGGGCTGATGGCTCAGAGCCTGGAGCCTGTTTCCGATTCTGTGTCTCCCTCTCTCTCTGCCCCTCCCCCGTTCATGCTCTGTCTCTCTCTGTCCCAAAAATAAATAAACGTTGAAAAAAAAAATTTTAAACAAAACTCTATTTTTTAAACTATAGAGAAGTATAAAGAAGAAAACAATAAATGCCAAATTCCCAATCATCTTACTGCTAGCTAACCTTGTTGATATTAAACAAAAAGATTTAGAAGTACGTAAAATTTCAAGATAAAAACAACATGAAAAGGAGAAACATCTTCTGATTTGTCTTCCCAAATGTAACCACTCTTAAGCTTCCAATGATTCCTTCTGGAAAATTCTGCATACATAGAACAGTGTGTATGTGCACTGGAACAAATGGCCTTTCTAAAAAATGCACTCAAGGGACAATGTCATTTTTTTTAAAAGTCTATTTATTTATTTATTTTAAAAAGTAATCTCTATACCCAGTGTGGGGCTTGAATTCATGACCCTCAGATCAAGAGTTGCATGCTCTTCTGACTGAGCCAGCCAGGTGCCCTGGGACAATATCCTTTATACTCTTTCTGCACTTTGCATTTTCTCTAATAAAACATCTGCTTGTATCCTTTCTCCTTTTTGCCCTGCCTCCAGAAGCCAAGCATGTACCCAGCTCTCAGGCCTGCCTTGTCTCCTTCTCTGCTACTCTCTGCGTGGATGGTGACGGTAGCTCCTGTCCCCCTGGGACATTACCTTGGTGCCCACCCCAGGCAAGGTGCAGAGGGCCTTGTGGGCCTCCTCGTAGGGGGCCTTGTGCAGCTGCTGCAGCCAGGGCAACCCGCCCTGTTCTTCTAGGATGGCTCGGGCACTGGCATTCACGTAGCGGGCACGATACCCCAGGCCCAGCTTCCTGAGCTGAGCTTCTACCTCTGGCCCTGTGGGTGAATGGGGAAGAAAGCAGGGGTCAGGGATCCTCAAATCTTTCCTGTCTTCAGGCTAGTGTGTGAGGCCTCTACCCCCTACAGGAATGCTTTCCCTAAGCACCTCTCTCCCACCTCATCACCCTCTGTGAGACCCCAGGACACTTGCATATTCAAAAGAAAGGGTTAAAGCCTGAGTTTGCTCCTCTGCAAATATTTTCTGAGCACCTATTACCCAGTGTTGGAGCAGGGACTAAGAAGGACTTGCTGCCCTGGAGGAACTCCCCAGTTATCCTTTCCAAAGTGCATTTACACCCATGATCTAAAATAATGGTCATAATAACAATAACAGCTTCTATTATCAAGTGCTGAGTATTATGCATGGGCAAAGTACTTTAGGTACATTATCATGCTTTTCTTAAGGAACCGGACAACAGTATGGCTATTTTCCCAATTTTACAGATGGAGAAAATAAGAACTTAGAAGAGGTTAATAACTTGTTCAAAAAAGGACATGGTGGAGATGGGATCTTGTACCCAGGTCTGGGAAACCAACGCCTGTGCTCTTAGCCTATTAGAGCACCCTGCCTCACGACTGCTTTACTCACCACTCAAACCCTTCTGGATAGAAACCGTTATTCCCATCCTACAAACAAGAGAAGCTTCAATAGGTAAATGAATTCTTTTGGTCTTATGACTACTAAGCTGGGAGCTGAGACCCAAGACTGGGTTTCTTTTTTTCCCCCCAATACTGGGTTTCTAAGCACCAAAAACATTCTCTTTTCTCTAGGTATCCTGTCTCCTTGCTATGCAGTCCCTAAGCACTTCTTCTAGCTTTATTCTCACATCTACCAACTGATATACTTGCTTCTGTAAAACACTTCCCTCACAAGGCTGGTATAAAGAACATATATGTTCTTGGATGCAAAATTGTTGGGTTCACTGTAGAGTTAGCAACTTTAATTTTCTGCATACTTCCTGTATGTCAAATACTGCACTATGTGCAGTATGTGTATTTCTTTACTTAACCCTTGTGGCAACTCTGATAGGTAAGTGCCATTATTCTCCCATTCCACAGATGAAGAAACTGAAACACAGAGTGATTAAATAATGTGCTCCAGGTCATATAGGTAGATGTCAAATGCCAAAAGAATTCAGATGTAGGTATTTTCCAGAAGAGTGGTCTTAACCCCATACTACTGTATACTATGTGTTTTTTAAATTTTTTATGAAGCAGTGAACCTATGGGGTAAAAAGCACAGGCTAGTGAGGTGCTGACGTTTCAAGGACAGACAAGGAGGATGAAGCAGGGCTGATCAGACCAGGCAAGATGGTTCTGGATGAGGAGGGTGTTTGGGAAGGCAGGAAGCTTTGAGATGGGAGATGGGGACCAGGGGAGAACCGAACAGACCCTGAAAGCTTTTGGAGGGTCTGAGCGCAGGGACCCACCTACTCACCAGCCAGGGCCTGCAGGCTGGGGAAGCCATGGTAGGTGACATCATCCAGCTGGATGAGCTGAGGTCCAAAAGCCTGGCAGAGGCGTTCCACCATGCCGGTTATGCGAGCAATGTTGTTGTTGGAGGAACAGATGAAGGAGAAAAGGCACTCGACGGGGTCCTGTTGCAGAAGTCGAACACCTGGAGACCAGAAAGGTAGGCGGTAGGATACAGACCTGGTGTCAGGAGTGGCCTCTTCCCACCCTCAGATCCTAGGCACTGAAGATCTAGGAGGATCTAGGGGAATGAGGGAAAGCGTTGATAGAGAAAACAACACCAGAGCGCTCATTCCTCATAGGTCGGGGTTATCTTTACATTCCAGGGATAAAGAAGCCACAGTGTAAACACAACGAGCGTGGGGATTTGTGTCCATGGGGATTTGTGTCCGTTTTGTTCACATAGCAGATGCTCTGCAAATATTTACAGAATGAATGAGGTCACCTGTCCCAGGTCACACAGCCAGGATTTGGCTCAATATCCTGTCACCACACTATGGTAATCAGCAAAACAATAATAGTAATAATAATTACTATGTGTCAGGCACTATTCTAAGCAAAACTTTACACGTATTAGCTCCTTCAATCCTCATAAAATCTTATGAGGTGGATTATAATCCCCATTTTACAGATGGTGAAACTGCATAATTTAACCAAATTACAAGAACTCCAACCCCTGTCCCAATCCTTGTACTCACCTTGGAATTTGTGAGCCACCTCTTGAAAGTGGGGGTCCACGGAACTCCAGTGGTGATATAGTTGAGCCAGGCTGACATCCAGCTGGAAGTACTGGTGCACAGTCTTTAGCTCTTCTGGTGTGGGCCTGCCAACCCAACCCTTGTCCCCTCGGTACACAGTACAGTAGATCTGCTCCTCAGTCTGGGTCAGTGTCCATACTTGGTTCCCCAGCACGCCAGTCCAGTGCGCAGGGTTTTGCTCCCTCCACCTGAGCCCCCAGGCACACAGCAACTCTGGTACTCAGTTTTCCTTCTTGCACCCTTTAGGGCCCTCCCATCCTACAACAGCTCCATACACAACACTGACTTAGGAAATGCAAAGTCATTTGATTCTCACAACATGGCACTGGCCTTTTTTTGGTTTCTTTTGTTAAAGTTTATTTATTTTGAGAGCGAGTGTGTGTGTGTGTGTGTGTGTGTGTGTGTGTGTGTGTGCGCGCGCGCGCGCGCTTGCACTTACGCGGGCAAGGGGCAGAGAGGGGGGAAAGAGAATCCCAAGCAGGCTCCACGCTGTCAGCGCAGCGCCCAGGCACCCGCATTGCACTGGCTTTTTACCTCCACCTTAGAAAGGAGGTAAACAGGCTCACCACCCGCGTCTGCTTCCTCTTCTGCACCCTGAGGTTTCTTCCATCACCCCCAAAATTCCTTTACATTCCAGAACTGCAGTGTTGAGGGGCCAAGAATCAGGGTCACTCACCGGAAGGACTGTCCGGAAGCCAGAACCAGGTCCAGGCGCAGTTCCGAGCGTGGACAGGGGATGGAGGCCCACAGGGCCGGGAAAGAGGATAGAGTACGATGTCTCATGCTCCAGAGCAAAAAGGACCCAGCTAACAATTCCACGCCAGGCTCCGCCCCATAATGGCCCCGCCCACTCAGTACCAGCTCCACTCATCGCCAAAAGACCGTGACCACACAGCACTCTTTAAGGCCTTGCCCACTAAGCCCTAGCCGCTAAAGGTTTATTGAAGGCCCGCCCAATTTCATTTAATTCCTCCACTCCCTGCAGGCCCCGCCCCTTACAGTCCACCAGGGCACCAACCCTCCTGACCTTTCCCGTTATGAATGCTCTCCCGGCCACGCCTCCCGGCGCGCACCACTGCGCTCAGAGCTGCCGCGACTTCGGCAAGCGCGCGCAAACGCACTCTTCCGGCTTCTCCAGGGAGCAAACTTCGCTCTCACCGGAAGTAGGATGCAAGCCTGGCTTATTGGATCCGGAGGTAGCCAATCCGCGCAGAAGAGGCACCAATGAGAATAGGGTGTGACGGCGGATGGGCGGGTCTCTCCGAGGGGCCGCAGCGGTTGGCGCGCGCTGGGCTCGCTGCCCGCTCTCGGCCTTGCCTTTGGGGTTGTCTGCACTGGGCACGCAAGGGTGTCCGATCCCCGCGCCCCGCCGACCGGTCGCAGAATGCGCCCTCAGACCCCAATCCGCACTGCCAGATCTCCTCGGAACCCTGGGGTTCCTCATGGCTTGCTCGTCCGCAGAGCCAAATCCTGTCCCCCACCACCCCCAGAGAGCCTTTCTCCACCGAACCTCTCCAGTCAGATATTCGCCCTCCTGACTGAGAATTGGACCCGAACACAGCTCGGGCCCCTCCGAGCGGCCGAGACGTCTCCACAGCGTCCGCCGCTTGAGGATTGAGTCTTCGCGCTCGCCCGCTAAGCCGCTCCCCTCCAAGGCCTCGCCGAGCCTCGACTCCAGTCAGGTCTCTTCAGAGTTCACTCCGTCAGAGACCTTCGTCCTCCTACTGCCGCGCCCCGCGCTACCCAGCCGCTCCACCCAGCTGCTCCCTTCAGTCGCAGGGCATTCCTTAAACAGTGCTCCATCATCTCACACCCTGTGCCCACTGGGGCTTGTGGGCCCGAGGCAGCCCGTCTGCCTCTTCCAGTTTCCAGGGCGGGCTGCCTGGGCCCAAGAAAGATGTGTTATGTAATTTCTTCCCTTCTGGAGGAAGACAGTAAGCAAGGACCTAGGAGACATGAACTTTATCTGGGCCACTTTTCACCTCATAGCGCTGTGATCTGAGGTTACTGTGTTTCAGTGAGTAGACCGCAAATTCCTTAAGGGCAAGATTTGTGACCCACCCGCAGTACCTAGTAGGGAGGAGCATCACGTGCATGGCTATCATCAGACAAATGCTATTTTTGTCTGTTCCACTGCAAAGCTGCAAGGCCCTGGGCAACTACCTCCTGTGGCTGTCTCCTCTCTAGGTGTGCCAGCCCACAGGTGTCCCATACTTGGAAAGCATTCCTGCAGTAACTGAATGAATCATCGGTAAAGGAGATGCCAAGGTTGGGAATGAATGCAGAGCAGTCCTCTACATACCTGCTACGTCCCCAGTTAAACGGGAAGGTCACAGCTATGGGGACTCCGAAGCACTTGGGACTAACCTACTGGCAAAGGACTTGAAGCCTCCGAAATTCATGAAGGAGACGTAGACTTCTTCTAGCAGTTAGTTCTGAATACTGGTTAAAGAGCCAGCTTTGTAGACAGAGACTGGAGTTCAAATCCTAGCTCTGCGCCTTCCTAGTTGTGGGAACTTAGGCAAGTTACTTAATTTTTCTAAACCTCAGTATCTTTGTGGAGATAACCACCTTATTAACTTTCCCTATAGTTTTTGCAAGGATTACATAAAATTGTGTATCTAGAAGTGCTTAGAAAAAGGCTTGCCACCCAGTGAGTGAGTGCCTGGGAAATGGGAGCTATCATATTATCCTGGCTGTTGTCTTACAAATGCAGTATGCACAGCAACCAGCAACCTCTTGAGCCCAATTATTTACCATCCCTAAGGGACAACCTCCCTTTTTATCTTTTTGCCCTGGCAGAAGGCAAGAACCCAAGAATTCCAAACAGACTATTTATTTTCTAAGAATCAATATATTTTCTTCCTTTGAAATAAATACAAACCAGTTTGAAAGGTGGGGGCATCTATGGGAAAAAGGGAAGTGGGGACAGGCCCCAGTCTTTTTTAGTACCAAATGACTCTGGCGCGACCCGGAAACGCAGTTACAAATGAGAATAATTTAAATTCTCCGCTAATTACAGTATTTACAACAGCAGGGGAGGGGGGTCACCTAGTGCCCCTCTTCCGGGCTGGACAGACATCAATCCCACTGCTAGGCTGGGCAGATGCCCGTTCACCTCACCACCTGCAAGGGCCTCAGGCCACTAGGCAGTTAGATTCTCCTGGCATGAGCAGAGCAGACAGAGGTGGTGGGATGGCCTGTTTTATGCAGTGTCCTAACCTTGGCCCACCACCCTGCACTACAATGCTGAGGTCTCTGGGGCTCTCTGGCCAGTGAGACCTCCCCTCTCCATGCGCAGAGCCGCCATGGGCCCTTGGAGTGTTCTGTACAGTCCAGCTGCACTCAGGGCGGGAGGGACCTCCCCCACCCAGCTTCCCCTGAGACTGGCCCCAAGACCAGGAATGAGTCAGTGCAGAGGCCGGTGCCACTCCAGGACAGTGAGCAAAGGGGGAGGAGAGAGGTGGCAGGGCACTGTAGGTTGGGCTGTGCTGGGCATTATCAGTCACTATCACTGGTCTCGCTGCTCTGCTCGCCCTGCACCTTGCTGCGGTGCTGCAGAGCCCGGTGGTAAGCAATCTGCACTGATTTGCGGATGTTGGATTTGCGGCCCTCCAGCATCTTTTCCTTGTCGAGGTCCTGGTTCACGCCCAGAGGAACCAGCTTAGTCCTTGGCAGCCACTGCCTGTAGGACGAGGTGAGGATCACATAAGTCATCTCTGGGAAAGCAACAAGCATCAGCCTTCATCACTCCTTCACTCATTCAAAAACACCTCCTGAGTGCCCACTCTGGGCCCGGTTCTGGTGGGTAATGGGGTTACAGAGTCTAAGAGAAACAGTCCCTGCCCTCAAGGAACTGCTCATAGTCTAGTGATGAAAAGCACCCACTCAACAGTCACATTACGGGGTAACCACAGGGTATTTACGAGTGCAAAAAGGGGCCATGACCTAACCTGAAATAGGTACCCTGTCCCATAGGCTTCAGGCAGACTTTACTGACATTAAATATCCTTTGCACACAATACACAAAAAACGCTGCATTACATACATGTGACAGAACAGAGATTTAAGATCCTGAATGTTTATGTCTATTTTATCCTCATCTTGTCACCATGGAGGCAGAGACAGGAAAACTAAGTCTAGAAGCCACCTGATTCTGGGTGGGGAGCACATTTGTCACAGTCACTGATGGCCCTCTAGCTTCTAGCTACAGCTGTTTGTCAGCTGTTGCCCACTCAGTCTCTCAGACTCATGGTCAACACAACCCTCACAACCCTTCGGCTCAAAGATCTAAGTCCCTCCCCCACTGATCTGTGATAGCCCAGTCTGTCTGTTGCTGGAGTTTCCTGGCAGCCTGCCCACATACCCAGGGTTGCATCTGTGGCTGTATGAGTCACAGCAACTGCTCCCCTCCTCCCTTACCAGGTTCGCTTGTTGTCAAAGAAGAGGACGAGGTAGAGATGCTCTCGGGCTTCCTGGGTCATCTGTTCCCCAAGTTTCAGCACCTCCAGGGGGGGCACAGGGATAGGAACCCCATGATGGAACATACCTTCCCGGGGCATCTTTGGATCAATTATCTGAGGGTGTAATAAGACCTTTGTTTGGTTCAGTTCCCTTCTTCCCCGAAACTTACTCTATACAAGAACTGGGAAACTACCTCTGAAGTTGGGACACAGAAAGATTATCATGCCACAAGGCTGCATTGCTGACCCTTGGCTTCTCATGATGAACTATTCCAGATTCCAAGATGCAAAGGGAAAGAAAAGGGAGAGATGGAAAAACTAACCAGGAACTTGTTAAGTATCTATCTGCCAAAGACCCTTGTTCTCTACAGCTCAGCAGAGAGTAAGTAAAGTCTGCTAATTGTGTCTACGATCTGGGGTTGGGAGGCAAGGGGTATGATAAGAAAAGGGGAAGCCTACCAGAGCTGGGTATGATGGATACCCTCGGCATTTGGCCCACACCAGGTCCAGAGCATCCAGTGGGGAGTCCTCATCCTCTGACAGCCAGCCAGCTCCCCGTCCCAGACTCTTCCTTACCACTTCACAGGAATGGGAGAGAGGGAGCAGATCAGCAGCCAGGGGGCTGGCAAGGCCCTGATACCGGGCCCCCGGCTTCCCTGGCTTTGGGTGAGGGTACTTACTGCTGTGGCCCACGCCGCGGCCAGTGCCCACGGAGTAGGCCTCGTTCTCAGTGCCTGAGGTATCTTCACTGCTGTCTTCCGGGAATGTGCCCCGAGAGAAGGAGGGCTTGCCCCGGCCCTGTTTTGAGGGTGTTGTGCTGTGGACAAGACAAGAACTCAGCTTAAAGGAGGGTAGAGTGGGTAATGACACAGTAGTTGTCCTCTCTTTAAACCCCCAGGTCTAAGAATTTTGGAAAACTGAGGCTACTTGAAAAATTTCAAACTCAAAAGCCCTCGGGGGCTTGGCAATAGTGCGACTGACATGGGCTGGATTTAACAGTGGTGGTGATGAGTGCATCCCCTGGCTAGATTTGCCAGATCGGATTTTTAAAGAGAATACAGACACTAGGAATTTTATGTGGCAGTACTGGATTCCTTTTTTTTTTTAAACACCATGCTGGCCAAACAAAATATGTCTGCAGGCCAAATCCAGGCCACAAGGCATCAGTTTACACTCTCTGCTCTACAACATCAGCTTAACCCAGGATGGTTCCCACTATTCCATTATGGTGATGTTCTTAGGTATGCCATTTATTTTGCAGAGAACCTTGGGTCTGAGCCATCTTAATCTAGACTGAAGTGGCTGCCATGCTATTTCCCAGAGGGAAACTTCAAAGGGCATCCTGGAGGCAGACCTTGATCTGGAGGGCTGGTACCTGGTTCGGTCTGAGGCAGCGCTGCTGCTGCTACTGCTGCTAGACTCAGAGTCGGAGCTGCTCCGGGGAAGGCTGCAGTCATTACGATATACCAAGAAACTCTTCTTCACTGGCTGATTTCCACCGCTGAAGCCATTAGCTGGTAAGTCTTGGTTGGGGGGAGGGGGAGGAGGGAAGGAATCGGTCAGGAAGATGTAGATGAGAGATGGCATGGGGGTAAGAGGGACTAGGAGCTCGGCTCTCCCTTCTGTGCTGGAAAATTCCTCCAACTTTGGCCAGCAGAGCCAGTTCTGGGCAGTGTCTGCCACAGTTGGCCATAGTCCTGCCCCACCCGTCACACTGCCCTTGGCAGTTACTGGCCTTAAGACACAAATGGCTTAAAGGGCAGGAAATCCCCAAGGAGGGTGAGAAGAGAAAAGGTGAAGTGATATAATGGAGAGGGTCCTGGATGGGAATCTAGCTGGGTCAGTGTTTCTGGACTTCAGTTTCCCCATCTGTAAAATGAGGGGACTGAATTAAAGGATCCCTAAGGGCCCTTCTAACTCTGATATATTATGGGCAAATGAAGGGACAGGTGGGAGTTATGTTGGGAATGATGGCAACTTTGCTCACTCTCTCGGTGGGCTGGGTGATGGTGAGGCTCACCCATTGGGGGGTCTTCTGTGGATTTATCACTGTCGCTGTCTGAGCTCGAACTGGGCCGGGGGCTCCTACCCCGCTTGCGCTGACGTAGGGAGCCCATGATGGGGAGCTGGGGGGGCCCCACAGGACTGCCTCCGTGGCTGGGGGTCATCTGGCTCTCCCGGTTTTTGGGGGGCCGGCCCGGCCTCTTGGGCGGTCCAGCTGTCTTCGGGTTCTTTTTGGAGAACAGAACTGAGGTTCTCCTGCCCACCTCATGTGCGGGGGTTGAGGACATGTTGGGACCCAGGCCTGGAGCAGAGAAAGAGAGAAGGAGAGTTGGTGAGGGGCCTGATGTGGGAAGGGTAGACACCCAGGGTATGCCCTGGGCCTATAGGACTGTTACTCCAGCTAGAGTTGGGAGATGATCTGGGGGGTTGTGGAATTGGGAACATTGTCCCTTATACCAATAGCCAGAGAGGCAGCTAAGAGGCCCCTGAATGGGGAATGAGGGAGAAAGTACAGCTAGCTGTGTAGGAGGGACCTCTGCCTGGGGGATGGCAGTGGCTGAGTGTGTGTTACAGAGTCAAGTCTAGCTGGCTTTGGGGTCCACCTTGCTAGGGGTTCAGACCTTTGGTTGTCTCCTGGCTGCTGCTCTCTTCGGCGGCACTGTCTGTCTGCCCGTCCTTGTCACATGCTGCCGGGTGGGGTGTCAGGCTGCCCCGGCTGGAGGGGCCATGACGCTCAGGCCCATCCCTTCCAGTTTCCCGCTGGTGGGCAAGCTTCCGCCGCAGTGCCGTCATCTCTTTCTTGATCATCTTTGCACGCCGTGAACGACTCACACTCTGCTTGCTGGCATTCACCTCATCCAGCCGCTCCAGCAACAACTTCAGCTGCTCTTCCACTGGCAGGTGCTTCTGGTTCTCTAGCAGGATCAGCCGCTCTTCCTCTGCTGCTAGGAGTGGACACAGGGGGTGGGGAAAGGTCAAACTTAGGGTAGGCCTCTGGGCCCCCTGAACCTGAGCAGGCAACAAGAAACCCACTCTTTTCCCTTTGGCTTCTCACCAGGAACAGCTGTAAAACAGCAGCGCCAAGATGTGGAAGGGTAGGCACTGCTATCCATTCACCCAGTCTGGCTTCTTGGGGAGCATTCCTGGGGATAGTTTGCCACTGCTCAGGCTAGCTACTTCCTGCCTACACTGCCTGTTCCCAGTAGGGGATTTTTGGAAAGCCATTCATCCCTGGCATTGGCCTCTATGTGTGTAGCATGATTTATCACCCACCATCTTCAGTGTGCTGTGGGGCCTCATCTCCAGCCAGGCTGTGGGGGATATGCATGCCCGTCTCAAAGTCAATGCCCATTTTTTCTGCCTGGCGCCGGGCCTGGCGGAGCACAGCGCCACCCTGTTCTCGGAGCCGCACTGCTGCCCGGTAGAAGATGGTGTCCTTGGCGTTATACTTGAGGCAGTTGCTGACGATAAGGTTGAAGTCCTCCTCAAAATCATCAAAGTTCAGGTAGCGGTAAGCCTCCAAGTTCTGCTTCATGGTGTAAAAGTCCATGGGCTTTTTGATGTGGTCTAGGTAGTCAGGTACCTGGGAGAGCAGGGTAGGCGTGGCTAAGTGGAGATATGCTCCTCATTCGCCCTGAACCCTTGCTCCTAACACCCCCACCCCCTGAAAAGCATCCAGCAACCTCCTCCCACCACAGTTAGAGGCAGGCATATAGCACAGGGGAAAGGAAAGCTGGATTCTAGTCTTGACTTTACCAGTCACAAGCTGTGTGACCATGGCAAGTCTCTTAACCTCTTTGGGCCTTCTTTTTCCTCACCTGGAAAATGGTGATGAAATTACAGTCAAATCTACCTCCTAGAGCCAAGAGGCTTCAGTAAGAAAATGGCTAGGGCAATCATTTGGAAATAACACCACTTTGCATTCCTATAGCTCTTTTACTTATCATTAAGACTTATAAGGCTACTGCCTCGGACCTCTCGTTTTATACCTTTTAGAGAGAAGAGTCTGCCAGTCAGGACCTAGGGCTTCAGAGCTGGTTCTTTAGGTGCTGAGCCTTCTAAAGTCTCCGTTCTAGGGTTCAGCACCCCGAAAGTGTCTTCCTGCCCTGGGATTATTCATTTGGCAGACTCAGTCCCTGCCTCTGGGGAAGGAGTGCAGATTGCCTCCCATTCTGGGCCCTTGGGGTGTGACAGGGACAAGACAGAGTCCAGGTGATGCATGTGGCTCCAGTTATCCTGGAGCCCCAGAGCCACCAGCCCCTCTCTTCACAGTCCCCTCCTAGTCCCTGGCCCAGACCTGCAGCAGGGGTCCAACTGGGAGAGGAACAGAAAGGTGGAGTGAGGGGAAGGGATTCTTACTTCGTCCAATTCGGTTACCTCAGACAGAGGGACCGGCTCGCTGAAGATGTTGCCTGTGTCCTTTTCTTGGAGCTGCTCCAAGGTTTTGCGAAGGAGGATGAGGAAGGGGGTCAGCTGCATCTCCATGGCGATCTGCTGGACCTTGATCTGACACACATAAAGGCCCGATCAGCCAGGCCCAGGCCAGTCCCTTGGAAGAGGTCTGAAGGGATGGTAGCAGCTGGTTTGGGAAACTGCCTTCCTTCTCTCCTGCCCACAGCTGACACACTCAGGTCTACTTTCTACAAGGCCCCACCTGGTGAAACCTTCCCTGACTACTCTGGCCTTTTTCTTCCTTGAACTCCCAGTGCCAGCTACCTGTATCACATAATTGAGGGTCCCGTTCATCCTCTTCTGTGACATGCTGCTTGCAGTGGGCTGGAGAACACACTGGGCACCAGTGAGACCTGACTCCAGCATCAGCCCTATTGCTTCCTGGCCAGGGGACAAAGGCTTTTCCTTGTCCCAGGAATGTTTTCTCCTCTGAAAAACAGACTTGACCCAGGAGCACTCACCGTCTCCCTTTTGAGTTTCTCCCGCTTGCGGATCAGCTCCACCAGCAGCCGAGCTCGCTCCAGGTCGTGCCGGAGGCGCTGCCAGGACTTGAGCTGTTCTTTGAGGGCCCAGTTCTTATCCTCAGAATCTCTCTGTAGAGGCAAGAAGGGGATTGGTAGATGATAAGGAAGCCAGAAGAAAGGCCAGAGGGAAGAAGAGCCCAGGAAGCTTGGGTCAATGTCAGGTAAAACTGAAGGAGGTAGCACAGTAATTTACTGGCAGCCTCACTAGCTAAAGTGGGAATTCCTATACTTATGTGTCCCCTAGATCTGGCACAGAATCAATGGTTGGTATCTGCTTGTTGAATGAATGCATGAAGGAACACACAGGAACAGTGCCCTTTTAACGTGCAGACAATCTGTAAGGATCTCATCCTGAGTTTGGTTTGAGGGCTACTTTAAAGGAGGAAATAGCCTAAGCTCTCGGACACTGAAAACTATTATCACATATCTCAGTCCTTTATGTCCCTGGCCCCAGTTCCCAGAGCCCATAGGGAATCTGACACGGTACCCCAACTTGGTCACAATTCCTCTGAGACTGCAGATGTGTCTGCAGGCGACGTAGCAGCGGGACTCCATTTCGTGACTGTCGTTTCAGCGTCCAGTAGCTGTGTAGCCTCTGCATGAACTGGCTCTTCCTTTGGATGGTCAGGCGGTTGGTGATTTTACTGAGCCTGCGAAGCAGGGAATAAAGAGAAAAACCTGTTGGGCCATTATTTTCTTAAGCAGAACAGGTGTCTCTGGCTGGTGAGAATTCCTGAATGGAGTTGAATCTGGAGTAAGTCTATTGTCAAAAAGGCCTGTGACACTTGGCTTAATGCGAAGAAGAGCAAACAGTACCAGACAGGAAGCCAAATTCCCAGCATGAAGCCAGATCCCTGACCCTGTTCACGAAGTTGGGTGAACTCATATGAGGAGTTTGGCCTCTAAGACTGCTCTTGTCACAGCAGCCCAGAGTACTATTTGACTCTGGGATACCCTGCTCAGCCTGAGCCTTGGAAGGTTTTAGGATAAAGTATAATTGTAGAGCAGTACACTAGAGGAAATTAACTAGACAGCACAAGAGAAAGTTAAAAATAACTGATGATGGCAGCCGTCATTTGGATTCATTTGTGGTAGTGACCACTTCACAACTCCTTCCCCCTTTTTCCTTCCATTTCTCCATTCAGGGTGAGAGTATTTCTGCCACTGTGGCTGATAGCTACTACATCCTCTTTCTTCCCACTTAAACCAGACCATAAAATGAAGGGCAGCTGAAAACATGTTAGGTCTGACAGATAAAACCTGAAATTTCTGGCTCCTAAGATAAAAGTCTGGTGACCTGCTAGGGCTAACTTCTTTTGGAATCTGGTGTTTTGTTTTGACCTTCTTTGTAGCTTCTAATAAGAGAACCCAACCCTGTCACTCCACTCGGGGCTATCAGTCTCTAGGAGGGCTTCTTCTTCCCTTACGAGCCTATCCATCTGCTCCCCACATACCTGTGTGGTGGGATGCAGGGCACCGACACCACAGGTGCTGCGGCCCGTTTCTCTGCCAGGATCTTCCGTGCCTTCTTCATCTTGATCCGGGACTTGGCCTTGGCCTTCTTGACCTTCTCTGAGCTCCAACTCTTACCCTCATCCTCCTCCTCATCCTCATCCTCCTCACCCTCACTGTGGGACAGGGCAGGCAAGCGGCGTGCTGAACCTGGGGGTGTGTGGATGTCACAGTAGGCCGTCTTGCGGACACTGAAAGAAGTGCCATTGGCACCTGTCTCTCGCACAGGCTCCATCTTCATGTAAAGGCCAGCCTGCTGGGCACATGTCACGTGGAAGGCTGTGTAGCAGTTGGCCTTGTGGCACTGAATGCATGCCCCTGAGCCCCGCTGTTTGCAAATATAGCAGGTCAGCTTCCAGCGAGCTGGTGGGATGTGCTCAATGCTGTCGATAGGCTCCAGGAAGACTGTGTTGGCAAAGCAGACTTCAGGGATCCACAGGGCACACACCACATGGGCCCAGCGCCCATCATCTGTCTGCTTGAAGGCACCACCCTTGTTGGGGCACAGGGCACAGTCCACAGCCCGGGAGGGTGACTGTAGGCAGCGGCGGCACAGCCACTGGCCCTCAGGGATGTAGGGGACACCGTAGCACTCTTGGTGCACAGCCAGGTTGCACATGTCACAGAATAGGATGACATTGCTGTTCTGGCACTCACCATCATTGCAGATACAGCACACAGCATCCTCATCCACTAGTGCATTGGGGTCACCTTTATTGTGGCTTTCAAAGTAGGACTCCTTCTCCAGCCGGTCCATTAGGTACTCAAAGATCTCCTGCGGGATGGGACTCACACCCTCTGTCTTCCGCCGCTCATTCATGATATCCAGCCAGATGTAGTCCTCCTCGTCCATGTCATACTCTACTTCCTCGTCCAGCTCCTCTGCCGACTTCTCAATGTACCTGCAGTGCACATAGGCAGCTCAGCATCATATAGTTGAGATTTCCTTCCCCTAAAGAAAATGGGTTACAATTGCTGGACGCTTACACGTTGCCAGGTCTGTGCCTTTACTTATGCTGTCTCATTCCAGCCTCACCTTAACCCCAGGTGCTGTAATCATTCCTGTTTTGCAGAAAAGGAAACCTAAGGTTTGGGGAGTTAATTCACCTATTCTGGCTCCCTTGGGAGAAAGTGGTAGAGCTGGGGTGTGAACCCAGGCCTGCTGACTCCAAAGCTTGTGTACTAGCTACTATACCACCTCCTCTGGGGTACGGAGGCTCAACCAAACTCCTGAAGGGAGGAGGGTAGGGCAGCTAGGACCTACCGGGTTGGTCTGGATGATGGTGCAGAGTTAGGAGAAGAAAGGTCCGCAAGTATCACTTGCAAATTATATATATGTTTTATATATGTTTTACAATGGAAAGAATGGGGCTTTGGTTTCTGAAAACATGGATTTAAATCCTGGCTCTGCCACTCTGACCTTCAAGACATCACTGGTCCTTCCTGAACTCAGTTTTATTGATAAGAGAATGAGGATGCTACTATTTACTCCCAAAGACACTTGTCAGGATTAAATGGAATTTAAAAAAATGAATGGGCTAACTGAAGTGGCACATAGCAGGCCCTAAATAAATGTTAGTTTCTGTCCCTCCACTCCCCTCTCCACAGGAGAAATGGAGCTCTGGGTGCTAGAGTAGGCCAGAAGAGCATAGGCTTGGGAGCCATGCTCTGTATGACAGCAGGCAAATAAGGTGATCTCCCTGGGCCTCTGTTTCCTCATCTATAAAGTGGTGATGCTAACCTGTACCTATTTCACACAGCTGTTGTGAGCATTAAATGAGTTAATACAGATAAGGTATTTAGAACAGTTCCTGGCATGATGCAAGTACTCAATAAACCTTGGCTTTATTATTAGCTTTTGTATAGCCCTGAGCTATCTTGCCTTGTATTATAACTATTTATGTGTCTAACTCCTCCACTATAGGCTAGAGGCAAGGACCATGTCTGATTCACCACACAGAAATAGGCACAGTTGTTCATTTCAAAGGCATTTTGAGGGTGGAATGGAGGAAACTAAAATACTGTATCTTTAGGAAGCAGTTTCTTTCTTAGCCCTTTACCCCAAATGACTGCAATGTCCTCATCCTTGAAAAAGGGTGTGGCTTAGAGATTGTATGAACTATCCAGCCCCTGCTAGGCCTTGGCACTTGTTCTCAACCTTTGCTCTGCCATAACATATGTGACATTATGCGATGGGATATAACACACTCCCACAGTGCACCTAGATTACAGGCTGTGGCACAGATAATGTAGGCTGCATGTCATGTACAATTCCTGGCACACCAGCCTACACTCCACCCCCTTTTCTCCTTAAGAAAGCATATATTAGATGCAAGCAAGAGAAATTGGTGTTGTTAGAGAGATGACCTCAAATCTTCTCGAATTTATATATAAAAAATATGATTTGCAAAACTTGGACAGTTCTACTAACAGTAGTAATAAATGACATGCAACACACCTCCCAGCTGATCACAGTGTACCAGCTGAGAATTGCTGCCCTGGAGAACAGATTTGATCCCCAGGAATAAGGAGTGAATCTGAGCAGAGGGAGGAAGAAATGGAGTGGAAGGAACTGGTTTGGATTGCCTATCAGAGCAGAGAAGGCTGAAGAGCCCTTAGGAGAAAAGGCTGGCCCGAACAAGGGTTTGTATGTTGGGGGGTGAGCCTAACAGTCACTGCTAACATAAAAGAGAGGCAGTGCAAAACCAGAAGGAGAAGGAGGTGAAGCTGGGCTGGATGGATGAAAGACAGGAAGAGGAGACTGTATAACGTGTGAACAAGGGAGGGACCAAAGTGACATACCAGGCCAAATCACTGGAGTGCCCACAGACTTGATTTTAAAGAACGGAGATTCAGCATACTATCACACGGATTGCACTTTTGGTAAAAAAAACCACCTTTCATATAAAAACCTTTACAAGTCCTTCTCAGAGATTAGGCCTTCTGATTAGTTGACACCAAATACTGCTCCTTAACTTATCTGAATGCCCTCTTTGCCTTGGATGCCAAGACTCAGAGAGAAGGTTTATACTTGATTTTTCTCCCATCCTCCAGCTAAGGTTTCTGTACATAGCTCCACCACCAAATTGCCCCCACCCCTTCATTTCTTACCTTGTGTTAAAGGAATTTAGCCTTATGCCTGTAACTTTGTTAGAGCCACCATGACTAATTTTGCAAGTAAGTGGGGTTCCAAGAAACAGTTAAGTGAAATAAATACTAGGGCCAATGGAGGAGCACAAACCATAGGTGATAAAAATATTGCTTACACATGTTAAAGGATGGGTGACAGTAACAGAATGGTGGGAAAATTACCTCTGCAAATTTGCAAATTGCTTTAGGGACCTTATGAAATCAGTGCTTAGTCTTCTACCTCTAGGCCGGCAGAGGAATATTATACCTGCTCTGCAGATGGGGTCATTAGAAAACCAGAAGCCAGACAACTTTCTCAAGGTTACACAGTGATGGAGTGGAGAGGGTCAGGAACCAGACACATGATTTTTTGATATAGTAAAAACTGCAGATTTGGAGTCAGAGGAACCTGGATTTGAATCCCAGTTCCACTATCTACTGGCATGTGACTTTCGGTAAGTCTGGCCCCCTTTCTGGACTGTGCATTCCTCATCTGTGAAATGAGAACGATACCTACCTGAGAGAATTGTGAGAATAAAATAAAGGAGTGACTGTAAAGTACCCAGTGCAGGGCCAGGCATGTGGCAGTATATAGTAAGTGCCACCATCATTAGCTGGGGCACGTTCCTCTCACCGCCCTGGCAGGACCAGTGTGCTTCTGCTATCCTTTATCTCTGCCACTCTCCTATCTGCTGCCTGTTACATCTCAGCTCCTGAGCCCTGCCTGACCAGTTTTCCAGAGTTGGGAGGTGGAGGTGGCCTTACCGGTAATAGGAAGTCGGCCGGGGTGGGGCATCGGGGGTGTCTTGCTCCAACTCCCGGTATACCACCTCTGGCAGCTTGGGAGTGGTGCTCACAGAAGCATTATGGTGGTGGTGATGGTTGGAGTCCTTGCGCTTTTCCTTGTTCTTATGCTTGCCTGACTTGGGAGTAGCAGCTGGTGTCTCGGTGTTCTCCTTGTTGCTACCAGTCTCAGGAGCCTCCTCAGGGGCCTCCTCATCCTCTGACACCACATCCAGGTTGTCAAAGATGCTGATGCGGTGGACTCGGCCGTGCAGGTCCACCTCCACCATGCGCTGGGCCTGCGCGTAGCTCATCACCTCACGGCCGGGTGACTGGGATACCTCTGAGGGGCTGGGCGACTGCTTGTTGGCTGGGCGTGATTGGCGCCCCTTCTTTTTGTGCTTGCGGAGTGGAGTCTGCTGCGGGGGTGGTGGGTTGTCGTGGTCATAGTGATATAGGTGGTACTCAATACCACTGTAACTCTTGTAGACCTTACGGCAGGTCTCCACGGGGCACTCATATGGTGGCTTAGTTGCCCGCAAGTTGTGGCAGAAAGTCTTCACATCAAAGTCCACCCCCATGCTGTCACATCTAGAATGTACAGATCAGTTAGCACAGGCCTGGGGAAGAGTTCCTGGTCATCCACTACTCTCTCCAGCCCTCCCCTTCTCCCCAAAGGTCCTGGCCAGCCCACCTTTAAAGTGACTCCAAATGCCATCACCTCCATACCATGGGCAGTCTGGGCCTCACCGCCTCCTGCCTGGTCATCCTGCCCCGTATCTCAACTATTCTAGCTTAACTTCATATAATGTGGCCAGAGTGATCTTTTACCAAGTAGCAACAGCCATGTAATCTTTTGATTAAAAGCTTCCTGATGCTCCCCACTTATTTCAGGATAATATCCAAATTTCCTATGATGATATTCAAGGTACCCCTTTCATTGGCCCTAGTCCTCCTTTCCAGACTCTTCTTTTCACTAGTTACAGCTGTGCTTCTGTCTACCCTGGGCAATTTGCCATTCCCTGAATGTTATAACCTCTCATTCCTGCAAGATTTGAAATGGTTTCCATCCTGATTGGTGAGCTCCTACTCATTCTTCAAAACCCAACTCAAATGTCACTTCTTCTGTTATGATTTGTCTTTCCCACGGAGGGCTGTGTTTCCATAGCATTCCATTGTCATCTCCACCAAGGCACTTACCACACTGGAAGTTCTTTGTCTCCTCCCACTAGACCAGATGCTATACAGTGCAGACATCAGAGAGCCTACCCACCTCTATACATTCCCAGGACCTGGCATGTAGTGGACACTCAGTTTTTGGCAAATGAATAAAGAACTTGTTTAATGAATACTGAATGAGGGGATCATCAGATCATCTGACAGATGAAGGCTAGTGTTAACCCATGTAGAAGTTTGAATGGATAGCCAATGATTTAATCCTGGTCACCAGCAGAAATCATTGCATTACAGAAAGCAGCAGTTCATTTCTGAGGTGTTTAGGGGAAGCCTATGCCCTGGCCCTGGCTCTGGGAGTGATAACCAGGTACTTAAGAGTACAAACAAGAGCATGACAATCTAGGCACATTCAGTTCCATGCTGGTCCTTAGGGCCTTCCCTTCCTCCTCTCCAATGTTCCTGGGTGAGTAGTGACAGCAGATGGCACCAGCCCCCAGGAAGCCCAACGTGGTCAGAGACTGCCCCAATTTCTCCAGGCCTAGCTGACTTCAACAATTCAGCTAGGGTGTTGGCATCATTCCAGGCAAAGCCACCCTGAGCTCCTAGACAAACGGTGACATCTCTTGGCTTCTCTCCTGTGACTTAGCCAAGCCAAGTGGGCTGCTCCAGCCTCTCTGTCAGTGCCCCTGACTTCTACATCGGTAAAACTACTCCCTCTACTCCAACTCACTTTTACTTCCTACCTGCAGCTGTGTCTTTAAACACAAACCAATCAGAGGAACAGGCAAGCTCTTCTCTTTCAATGATGGGTCGGTCCCTGGTGTATCCTGCATCTCTGTCGCCCTGGCTCCCAAAGTAGCACAGAGCCCCCGGCAGATGTCCCACTGGGACTGGGCGGCAGGGCACACGGGGTGGAGACAAGAACTCAGACTGGAAGCCCGTGAGGAAGACCCAGAGCCCACAGGGGTATGGCGGCAGAGTTCAGGGGGCTGGAGGAAGTAGGGGGCGGGGGCCGGAGGGATCAGGCCGGGCCCAGGCGGTGCCCGCAGCCCTCTCCCGGATGCGGCGACGTTTCCCTTTTGTCGAAGTGTAACATGTAAAACAAGGCTCCCCTCCTGCCATTGGCCCAGGGAGCCCTGGAGGATACTCTGTTGCCCTGGGACGCAGGCTGGGAGCTAATGCACTGTCAGTTCTCCCGGCTCGAGTGGCCCAAGAGGCCCTCGGACCGGGCAGCTCAGTGCACGCCCCACGAAAGTAGTCTAGCCTTTCCCCGCTGGCCACTCCCGCCCTGGTCCCAGGCCCGCACTCACCGGCCACCTCGAGTCCGGGCTCATTGCCGGGGGCGCCCGCCGGGGCTCCGACCCCAGTTGGGGAGGCCGGCGGGGAAAGACGGGCCGGGGAGAGAGAGCCCCAACTCCGGAGACCGCAGACCTCGCCACCCCGGCACCCTGCCGCCCCACGCTCTGGCCCCGGCTCCCCGGGATTCCCGCGCTGACCCCTGCCGCTCCCGGTCCCGCCGGCGCCTTGGTGTCTCAACTCCGTCGGCCGCCGCCGGTTTCGAGAGCCTCTAGGTTGTCCGGCCTCGGGACCCGGCACGGCCGGAACAATGGAAGACCCCGGAGGCAGCGCGGGGACGGCGGCGGCGGAGACCGTGGCGGCAAAGGCAGTGGCAGCGGCGGCGGCAGCAGCGGCGGCGACGGCGTCTGCGCAGGGTAAACGCGGCGCCTCGGCGCTGTCGATCTGCACTTTCGCCACAGATCCCCGCCCGCCTGCTGAGTCTTGAGAGGCCTTTCTCTGAGACTCGGAAGGGCCCGTAGTCACCCACATGACTTCTGTAGCACCTCCACCTTAGAGTTGAGTTCCTGTAAGCTGAAGTCGCGGTATTCCAGATCCGGAGTGGTCGGGCCGTTTGTGGCGAATCTGCGGACACGGACGATGAGCGCGGGGCTGGGCTTGAGGAGCCCGCCCTTCTCCCTTCCCCCTCTGCCTCCTCCCTCCCTCCTGCTGGCGCCGCGGCTGCAGTGGGGACCTGGCCTTGGTCTCCGAGAAAGGCGGCGAGGCGGGGCCGGAGCCACGGGGCGGGGCTGGGGGCAGGGCCGGGAGCAAGAAGGACGCTGGCTGGAGCTTAAGGAAGGACTCGGAGTTATGGGTAGAGGTGGGGCGGGTCTGGAAGAGAATAAACCAGTCCAAGGGGCGGAGTTTGCGGGGAGTGGGCGGGGACATCTGTAAAGCGGGCCTCAGTAAGGAGAATAGGGGCTGAACAACGGTGAAAGGGTGGGGCTAAACAGAAGAGTGGGCCTCAGGAAAGAAAGGGCGGGGCTTTATATGGACCTGGAAGGTGTTGGGTTGGGGAGAAAGGACAGAACTGGGAAAAAACGACGCGAGACTGAAGTAAAAGGGCGGGGCTTGGAAAAGGTAAAGGGGCGGGGCTAGAGGGAAGGGGCGGGGCCATGTTAGGGTTACCGGGCGTGGCCAAAGGAAAGGGAAGGAGCTTGGGAAAGGCAAAGGAGCAGGACTGAAGGGAAAGTGTGGGTATGAAAGCAGGGGCCGAATCTGGGGAGGTGTAGAAGGCTGGTGGAATGTGAAAGGGCTTGTGTATGGTAAACTGGGAACCCCTTAGGGTTGGCGGAAAATGCATCATGGCTATGGGTGGGGGGGTCGGAAGATTGTCAAAACAGACAGCTGGTTTTAATGTGACTGGGCCACTTAGTAGCCATATGAACTTAGACATGTTGTTAAGTTCTTCCTACTTTAAATTCCTTATTTATAAAAGGGAGATCGAAAACTATTGTCAGTTCTTGGGGACTTTGGGGAACTTGGGCGCTGGGAGGAGTCCACTTGTTAAGCAGTACTTGCTCTTCAGTTTTGCCATCCAAAGAACAGCATCGAAAGGGTCTTCCAGGGTTTGGGGACAAAGCCCAAAGCAAATGGAAGTTTCTGTTTTATCTTAATGCAAACCTTGCATTCAACTCACTATAATGTATGTGTTTTTCATGTACAATGTTTTTTGAAAAATATCCTAATACAATTGACACTGCAGGAAGATGTTTGCTGGTGAAGATCTTGGGATCTGGAGTCGAACTGATGAGTTCTCTTCAATAAGTGAACCTCTCTGAGTCTCCATTTCCTGATGTGTAAAATGGAGATAAAGTATAGTGCTTACCTCACAGGATTGTTGTGAGGATTCAATAAGAATATGCTTGTAAATCACCTAGATATGTAGTGAATTCTCAAAATATTAGCTGTTTTTATTATCCTTATTAAAAGATTCAGAATAAATTGATCAAAGCAGAGTTAGAGTCATTGTAAAGCTGACCCTTTTTGAGGTCAGGAACCCCACTGAAAACCTGACAAAAGCTATGGGCCTCTCCTCAAAAAAACATGCACACATACAAAGTTTCACTCATTTTTAAAAATGTGTTATTTTTGAGAGAGAGAGAGAGAGAGAGAGAGAGAGAGAGAGTGAGAGCAGGTGAGGGATGAACTGAAGCTATTTTTGCTCACTTCTTTTGGTGTGGCCCCAGGACCTGGGTCCCCTAGTCTCCTTCCCCAAGAACCATGAGACAAAGGTGGAGTAAAGATCAGCTTTATTATTGGCATGAAGGCAGGGAGGTGGTGATAGTGCCAGGCCCTTCTGTGGGTGAGGGGGCAAAGGGCTCAACCAGCCAGCACTGATCCCCCAAGCTAGACTCACTGAGGTCCAGGGCTCCAAGTGCCTCTGGCTTTCAGCAAAAGCAGTGGGTGGGCAGGCAGGCAGACTGCTAGTTATTGAATAAGTGGGCTCCTCAGGGCTGTTCTGGAGCTGGGGTTGGGCTGGAGTTGGCAGGAGGTGGAGGGCGAGGCTGGATATCCCTGGTGCGCATATAGGACAGCAGCTGCTCTGGGATTTCGGCCAGCACGTCCTTGGCTAGTCGGGCCATACTCAGCACCTGGTTTCCGGACCGGTCAACATAGTCTCGGAAGGGGACGAACTGGGACAGGCACAGACAGTCAGGTGTGGGTAATGGCCAGGGAAGAGAGGAGTGGGAAGGGAAGCAGTAAGGGGGTTTCCTCCTTGACCCCTAACATCTCTTTCCAAATATCACATTAGCTCTTTCCCTCTATCTTGGACAGCTTTCCACATTTACTTTCTCCCCACCTCCTTTTTTTCTCACCTTCTATTTACCATCAGCCTGATCCAGTTTAGCTTCATGCAGTACTGACTCTGCTTTTGCTAATGTAATAGTCCCTCTGTTCCCAAATCAGTCCAGTGGGCAATAATTGTCAGTCCTCATCTTGCTTGACTTCTCTTTAGCTTTTCATTACATTTGACCACAATCTTCCAAAACACCTTCCACTCTTGGCATACCACACTCTTCTGGATTTTCTTGTTCTTTTCTGGATGCTCCTTTCCCCAACCCCATTCCTCTAGGTCTACCTGATCTCTAAACCTGGTCACGTCTCTCAGTTCTCTTCCAGGGTGATCTCATACACTTCCATGACTTTCAAAACTGTTCTCTGACTCCCAGATTTATACATCCATCCCTGGCCTCTTTGTTAAGGTCCAGAGCCATGTATTTAATTGCCCATATTATTATATACATTCACTTGTCTTAGATACCTCAAACCCTAAGTGTTCACAACTGAATTCTGGCCCTTTCTGCCAAATCTTTTCCTCCTCCAGGTTTCCCCTTCCCAATCAATGAGACTATCACTGACTTAGTTGCTCAAGCTAGAAAACAGAGTCATCCTTGAAGCCTTCCTCACTCCCCATCACCATTTAATCAAAGCATAAACTCTTGTAAAATTTTCTTAATCTTTTGAACCTGCTTCTTTCCATCCTCACTGCTTCCATTCCTGTCCAGATCCCTATCCTCCCCTCTACTTCAGAGACTTCCTTACTAACAGTACCCGCTGCAGTCAACCCTCCATGCAACAGAGATCCCCTTAATGCAAGTCTGACCATCTCAGTCCCCTATGTCAAATCCTCCAAGAACTTTCCAATTTTTTAGAACAAAACTCCAAATCATCACCATGACCGGCAAGGCCTTGGCTCCCTCTTCTTCACACTTACTGGGATCCTGCCACCCTGGCCTCCTGTGTTTTCCATGTTTGGGCTAATTCTGCTGAGCCTCAGGGCCTTTGCATGTGCTGCTCCTCTACCCTCCTTTAGGTTTCAGCTCAAATGTCATTTCCTTATAGAAGCCTTTCCTGACTATCCTACTAAGTCAGTCCCTGTTATAAGCTCTCATGGTGGCATTTGCTGTTCCTCTGGAGCACTTATCATAGTCTAATGAGATATTTAACTGTTGTGATTATTATTGGTTACCTCCACTAGAGGGCATGGGCTTTGGGGATATCCTATACTATGGATCCACAATGGCTATAGCAACCTGCCTATTCCTCAAAAAGAATATGTTCAATGAAGGCAGGAAGGCTGAAAGCGTAACGGGAAGAAAGGTAGGTGAATAAGAAAGCAGTAAGGGAGAGTGGCTGCCAGCTTAGCCTCTCCTTCTCACTGTGCCTTTTGGCTCCGTGACTTCCTCTCCCCGGTCAGGTCTACCTGAACGATGTCCCGCTCTGCATAGCGTCCCCTAGAGGACACGCGCACGTCATCACCATCCAGCTCTTCCATTGCTACAGAAAAGACACCTCTCAGCTGATTGCCCTTTCCCACACCAACCCATACTACCCCCTTCCCTGTTAGCTCACTTTGGAGTCATCATGAGAATATTTAATGGTTGTATTAAAGTCCTAACAAATATTAGGCATTGTTATGGAATTGTTATGCCTTCCCATGCATTCTATCCTCCCAGGAACCCCAGGAGGGAAATATTCGTATCAACAGCCTCATTATAATAAGGAAATATGTACAGAGAAGGTCTGTCATTTGGTCAAGGTCTAACACAAGCATCCATCTTATCTTTTTTGTAAGGTGGGCCTGGGTGCCCAGATCCTCCCCTATTTTCCCCAGTTCTTGGTCTCACTCATGGACACCCTTCCGTCCTACTCACCTTCAAACATGGCTGGTCCCACACCAACAATAATGATAGACATGGGCAGTGAGGAGGCCTGTGAGGGAAGAGTTGAATGGTTGGGGTGAACAGTCATAATGATGGAGGTGACTTTTGGGGACAATTCTCTGTGCATGTATCATGTTTCTGCACATCTTGCAAGCAGAGGCAGTGATTTCCTTTGTTCAAGATTATCTTTTCAAGGATGTCTGCATATCAAATAGCCTTGAAAGATATAGTGTCTTCCTTTGGAGCAAAGGGCAGATTTGTGTACTATTCAGTTTATAATAAAGTATCTCACACTGGAACAAAGGGCAGATATGCTTACTGCCCATTATGAAAGATTCAGATACCCTAAACTCAGGGTTTCTATCCTAGAATGTCTCCCATTGTGGGTGCAGCTGTCATTTGGCCCTCTTAATATGATCTTGTGGGAATTGGGACCTAGATTCAGAGCAAATGCTGATAATTGAGCTACTGCTATCGCTGCGAATAACAAAGTCCTTTGTCTCTGATCCAGGAGTCTTGTGTCTTCTGCCAGCATCCATGAAACTGGTAGACTAATTTGTTAGCTTGCAAGTAGGATAAAATCTCAACTCCTTCACAGTTATTAACAGTGACCCTCCCTGGCAAGCCCTCCTCCTTAAACTCACACTGACAATGGCCTCCTTGGTCTGCGTCATGTCAGAGATGACCCCGTCAGTGATGATGAGCAGAACGTAGTACTGGGAACCATCAGAGATCTTGGCTGCAGCCCTGGTTGAGAGTCCAAGATCAGAATCCAGCTGAAAGTCCAAAGAGGCCAAGAGAACTCCCTACCCCTAAAATTTCCACAGCCAGTGTGTAAGCAGTGGGTAAGGACTGGGGTTTCTAAAGCCCATGCTCCTTCTCAAGACCTGGATGCCTGCCTGACATCCCTCTAGTAACATTTATGGAGAACTTATTATGGTAGGTACTGTGTTATGATAGGCACCAGAGGTACACAATGAGAAAAAACAAATTCATCCCAGCCCTCTCAAGGGAGGGCATTAATCCCAGAGTCACAGAAATAGGTATAAAATTACACTTGTGATAAGTACTGTGATGGAAAGGGACATTGCTATGACAGTATCTAGTAGGGGATCCTGACATGGTCCAGGAGGTCAGTGAAAGCTTCTTTAAGGAAACAATGTTTGAGGGTGAAGGAGAGGTTAAGTGAAGGAGGGGGATCATTCCAGGCAGAGGGAACAGCATAGACAAGGGCCCTGTGATGGGACTAAAGGAAGCCCACCCTGTCTGGAGCCCAGAAAGTGAGGGAAGCAGAGTGGACCTTGTGGCTGAGATGGGGCAGGGGCCAGACTACACAGGGCTTTGACAGCTCATAGAAAGATTTTAGGGCAAGACCAAAGGCTGAAGGCTGCCTTTCTTCCCTTTCTCACTCATTTCTTCTTTCTTCCTTCTCCCCTCTGCTGGCCACCTCCCATTGCCTATGCTTCTGGGTCCTTAGCCAGTCTAAAAACTGCTCCAAGCTTCTTTTCCTTCTCTCACCATCAGCCTTTGAATCCAAGATTTTTCTATGTGAAAAGGACTTCAGAAGTCATTTAGTCCAGTCCACTTATTTTACATATAAGAAGAATGAGACCTTTGGAGAGCACAAAGGTTCTGTGTGGGTTGGAAAGGACCGAATTACACTATCCAATAAGGTAGACCCTAGCCACATGTGGCCATTGAAATTTAATTAAGTTAAAAAGAATTAAATTTTAGGTTCCTTTTTTACCCAAGCTACATCTCAAATGCTCAATAAAAGAACCCAACTAAACCTAAAGCCCTGAGCTCTTGATTCCTTCACTCTCCATTCCAGGCCTGTTTTTTGGATGCTCCTCCATATGCACTGTATATTCTGGTCATAAATACACTGTTCATTGTTTCCTGATCTTGCCCCTTTATGACTCTGGGCTTTTCACATGTGGTTCCTCATGCCAGGCCTACTCTGTATTCTCTTATAAAAACTCCAACTTGCCAAGCTGAGCAGTCCTCTCCAAAAGTAGATCTCTCAGACTAGGTTATACCCTCCTCTCCCTCTGCCTTCTAGGATACTGTCAACCAAGATGGGCTGTCAGCCCTTCCACATGGGTTTTCACACCCATGAGGGTACCAGCATGTGTAGGGAGAACCCAAGGCTACAGGATACCTAAAACATCCATTCTACTGTATGATCTGGTGCATAAAGCTAGATGACTGTAAGTACACTTATAACACCTTTTTTTGGAGGTGCCTGGGTGGTTCAGTTGGTTAAGTGTCTGACTCTTGATTCCAGCTCAGGTCATGATCTCATAGTTTGTGAGATGGAGCCCTGCATCAGGCTCCGTGCTGACAGTGCTCAGAGCCTGCTTGGGATTCTCTCTCCCTCTCTCTCCAGCCCCTCGTAGGGATGCCCTACTCGTAGGCATGCTTTCCCTCTTGCTCTCTCAAAATAAATAAATAAACACTAAAAAACCCCACCTCCCCCCATCCAAATTAAAGCAAACATGGACACAACAAGAAGAGAATGTAAAATTTGCATGAATTAAGATAAACATGTTGTCTTCAAAGACATTTTCAGCCAGGTTGCTTTCAGCTGTGCCCCTAAGATTCCCCTGGGGGAAGCAATTGCTTGCCTTTGCCAACAGGCAACTTGCTGGAAAAGTCTGGGAAGCTCTGGCCTACGGAAAGTAATGATTTATTTATATTTCTGTCTCCTGCACCAGGGTGGGAGCTCCTAAGGGCAGAGACTAGATCTGATTCATCTGTGAGTCTCCAGTGCACCAGCAGAGAACTGAGAATACAGCAAATGCCCTTTTAATAGTAATAATGACAATAATAGTAACAGTAATAGCTTACACTTATAGCAGTTATGTGGCAGGCACTAAGCACTTGACGTATATTAGTTTAGTTAGCCCTCACAACAATCCTATGATATTTCAATTTTTTAAGTGTTTTATTTTAGAGAGAGAGAGAGAGAGAGCATGAGTGGGAGAGAGGGGCAGAGGGAGAGAGAGAATCTTAAGCAGGCTCCATGCAGAGCCTGACACAGGGCTCTGTCCCACAACCCTGGGATCATGAACTGAACCAAAATCAAGAGTTCGATGCTCAACTGACTGAGCCACTCAGGTGCCCCCCTACCATGATATTACTATTATTATTCTCATTTTACAATGGAGCAAATAGGCATAGAGAGGTTCAGGGTCTTGCTCAAAGTCATACAGCTAGTGAGTGGTAGAGCAGGTGTACCGAATTAGCTAGTTTGGCTTCACAGCCCACATTCATGCTACATTGACTCTTTATTGAATGTTTATTGAATGAATGAATGAATGAATGAATGAATAAATTAGTGAACTAAGATAATATTAAAAAATCTGTTTAATAACAACAAAAATATGCTGAGGCTCCAATATTAAGTGAAAAAAATCAGTAGTGAAATATTACATGTAATTTTTTAAAGTTTATTTATTTTTTTTAGTAATCTCTACACCCAGCCTGAGACTCAAACTCATGGCCCTGAACAAGAGTTGCATGCTCTTCTGACTGAGCCAGTCAGGTTCCTCAACATATAATTTGACTGCATTTATGGATTCATAAGGAAAATCCTGTCAAGAACTACATATACATCCACATTCCCATGGGAAGTATTTTGGATGATTTATTTCATTTCTCCATCCTTGAAATTTTCTACAGCAATGTTAGGTTGCTTTCATAATTAAAAGAAACTATTATCCTCACTATGAATCACATAAACAATCTTTATTAGGGAAAAGGGAAGTGTATAGACATAAATATCCCTGAAATCCTTCCATTTGTATTCTCTTTCTCTCTTTTTTTTTTTTGGTTAATCTTTTCACTTTCAAGCTTTCTGAGGTACTTTGTTTTAGCTGGATCTCCTCTATTCAGCATATTATAGAGTTTACTTATTATTTTTTAGCTATTCAGAGAGTCTTTTTCTTTTAAGAGGTGAACTTACCCAATTTTTAAAAAAATGTTTGAGAGAGAGAGAGTGTGTGCGAGTGGAGGGAGCGGGAGAGAGAGAAGAGAGAGAGACAGAATTCCAAGCAGGCTCCATGCTGTCACCACAGAGCCCAAAGCGGGGCTCAGTCTCACAAACCATGAAATCATGACGTGAGCCGAAACCAAGAGTCAGACGCTTAACTGTCCGAGCCACCCAGCTGGCCCCCCAATTTATGTTTAATGGTATATGTTTGGTTTTAGTTCTGTCATTTTATTTTATTTACATTTTAAAAAGTGATTTGTGATCTCAGGGTTTTGTTTTTATTCTGAAAATTTGGAGTTACTCTTTTATTTTTAGAAGTTACTTTCCCATTTTTTAATCTACCATTTATTGAGCACTTACTATGGGCCAGACACTGTGCTAATAATTCTTACTTTGTTATCTAATTTTAACCTCCCAATATTCCTATCAAGAAGGTGCTATTGTTAGCCATTATTGTGGCCATTTACAGGGAGAAAATGGGGACTTAGGCTAAGCTGCTTAAGGTCACATGGTTAGTGAGTGGTGGAGCCAGGATCACTCCCAGGTCTGATGCCAAAGCTTGTGTCTTAACCATTGTGCTATAGGACCATCTCTCTTTTTCCCAAACTTGAGGGCTGAGTTGTTGTTCCCAGAGAATGGAGTTGGGGTAATTTGTTGACACTGTCTGTGCATCCTCTTTACCGCAGAATAAGGCATTTACCTCTTTATTTTATATATTTTTAAATGTTAATTTATTTATTTTGAGAGAGAGAGAGTGCGCGCGTACACGTGTGTGGGAGGAGCAGAGAGAAAGGAAGAGAGAGAGAATCCCAAGCAGGCTCTGGGATGTTAGTGCAGAGCCCAATGGGGGGCTCAATCTCATGAACCCATGAGATCACGACCTGAGCCAAAATCGATAGTTGGATGCTTAACTGACTGAGCCACCCAGGAGCCCTAGCATTTACCTCTTTATACTAGAGCCTGGCCAACACTGAAACTTGTATCCTTTCCCCAAAGCCCAGGTTAAGCCAAGAGTGGTCTTGACTATCCTTGGGAAGTCAGTCCCCTATTTGGGTCCCCTCATTCCCCCCAAACCCACCCAATTCCCTTACCTGGCTACCTGGTTGATGACAGGAGCAAAGTAGGTGGGCCCATAGAGCTGGACTGTGCGCAGGCTCTGGAAGTAGCTCTCCAGCACGCCCTCGATGCCTGCACAGTTGGGGTCCTCATCATTGTTGTTCTGTCAGGGAAGATGCCTTGCTGGGCTGACCCATGCAGGGTATACCCAGGAGTACTCTGATCCCAGCTCACTCCTTTTTCCTATTACTCTCATGCTCCCCTCCAAACTCCAACCCTGCTCCCCTCCCTTCTCTGCCACCCTCTCATGGTTCCTGGTCCTCTGCAGGTACTTGACCCTTAGAAGAAATATGAAGAGAAGAAAATCACCAACGTGAGTGGGCCAGAGGCCAGGGCATGGAGTTTAGGCTCTGGTCTATACTATACCAGGGGGAACTGGTGGGAGATCCGTCCTTCTGGAGGCAGCTTGGCTCCAAAGCCATAGGCTGGGAAGAGCTTGTCACTGTCATAGTCCTGGATGATTTCTCCCACTGCCTTGAGGGCCATGGCGTAGGCGCTGAGTTGGTAGGGACTCATGTAGTGCAGGGAGGTGGGCTGCAGAGGATTCCCTGTAGGGACAAAGGACCCCCAGCCTCATGGTCACCTTGATCACTTATGTATTCACCTGTCTGTGTATATATCCAACCACCTATCCATTCACCCACCCCTTGTACTCCCTCGTTATTATGCCCAAATCATCCATATGTTCATTTATCGATCTGTCCACCTACCAACCCCTCTATCTATCCATCACTTTATCCACTTATCCACACATCCATTCTCCGATCCACCAGATATAAATCCATCTTTCAATCTACCAATCCATCTCTTCTATCTGCCTTTCCATTCTCTTATTCAATATATACCCAAATATCACCCATCCATTCATTCCTATTCATTCCATTCATTCTGTCTTCATATGGATTCATCCACCTGTGCACTCATTCATTGCCCTATCTACTTACCTGTTATTTCTCCAATGTAAACATCTTTCCATTTGTCCACCCGTGTACCCATTCATGCATCCACTTGTCCAACCTATTGTACTCACTCCGTAACCCATCTACCTACTTGGTTTGTTCATCTGTTTGCCCACCCAGTCATTACTCAGCCATTTATCTCTTCATTTCTCCTTACACCCCTATTATCTCCCATCCATTAATGTACTCATCCACTTTTGAGGTATCTCTTCTTTCAACTTTTTTGATTTATTTACCCACTTATTTTCCTGTACCCTCTGCCCTCCCTGCCATTACACTGAATAATCTCCCCCCAAAACTCCTGTCCCAACCTGGTTGGGCTTTGCCTCAACCCTGGGCTTCCTGGGTAGGTGAACTTTTATCTCCAGGTGAGAATCCAGGCCAATCCCTAATGACTTCCTTAGAATTCCTCCACACCCCATTCTCCCATCCATGCCTCACCATTAGAAGCTGTGAAGTCAATGGCAACTGTGAAGTTCAGCTGTGTCCTGTCGGGGAAGTAGATGGATTGAGAAGTGAGGGATTAATACTTATTATACCAGGATTTCTCAAACACTAGTGTGCATATGAATCACCTGAGGATAGTGCTAAAATGCAGATTCTGATCTGGATGGTCTGGGTGGAGCCTGAAATTCTACATTTCTAACAAACTCCCAGGTGATGCAGATGCTGCTGGCCCATGGAGCACATTCTGGGTAGTAGAATTAAATGTCTACTGTGTGATAAGTTTATGTAATTTATGTAATTTAACTTAACCCTTACTATAGCCTTGAAGTAGTAATTAATATCTCCATTTTGCATAGGAGAAAAGTGAGGTTCAGAGAAGCAAAGCACTTTACCCAGGTCTGCCTACCACTACTGAACCAAGTGGAACGTCCTCTTTGGTCTGTTTGGGTTTTCCCTCTCTCTTGGCCTCTCCTTCTTGCCTGGCTATGATTTTTATCTGGATCCCAGTCAGGTTACTGGGGTCATCTTTGAAGACCACTGGTCTGGCATCTTCTCAGGGGGTACTGGAAGCTAGGCATGAAAGGCAGCTCCATGAAGAGAACAAAGATGGGCAACACTATGCATTTTACAGAGTACTTTATAGTTTGGCAAGTGTTTAAAAGTTTATTTCCATGGACCCTAAACGTTCATATATTAAAAAACTGAGGCTTAGAATTGGGAGTAACTCAATGCTGAACAGAACTTGGCCTGTGACTCACCCTCCCTTGATGTAATCAACAAAAGTGAATTCAGAGTCCACAGAGAAGGAGAGCAGCGTCACCTGTGGGACAGAGAGGCAGCCCTGCCACTTTGGAGTGGGCAGTTGGGTAGCAGAAGGCAGAGAGGCACACGATTCCACCTCCTGCCCCACACCCCCCACCCTGTCCAATTTCTAAAATGGCAAAAAAGAGGAAGCTGTCAGAAATAGATTTGGATTTACAAAAGTGTATTAAATTGGGAAATACAACTTAAGTTTAAAAAAAAATTCTGCAACAGTAAAGTTCAAACAATTTTTCTCAAGTGAGAAAACAAAAGATAAGCTTAAATGGTGCTATCTTGTGCCCAACATTACTATATTCAAGTAATCTGTGCCCAATGCCTTCCTGTACCCCCAACATTTGTCTGTGGGAATGGAAGCAGAAGGATCTAGGGAGGGCTAGAGCTTTAGGGAGCACTCACAGTTCCTGAGTTGACATATTTCTTCTTCTTACATTTCTTCCGAGGGTTAAGTACCTGAGTGAAAAAGATAACAGTGATGGCGGGAAATAGAGAAAGAGAGCTGTAGACTGAGAACACTGGGATGGAGGGACTGGGAAACCTGGACAAGGCTGGAGTTCTCACCTCATACACTGTGAACTGGTTCTGGGCCTTGCTCAGCTCCCGGTAGCTGGTGGTGAACTCACCAATGAAGTCATGGCTGCAGGGAGGCCAGGGGTGGGTGAGCAATGGCTACCGTTGGCTTGGAGCCAGCCCTGAAAGTAGTCTTTTGTTCCCACTATCCCCTCTCTCTACTTGAGCTGCAGGGCACTGGGGTTGGGGCCATAAGAGAGGCCAAGTTAAGGGGAAAGAGGGAAGAGGTGTACTCAAGGTCTTGGCATCTATTATTACCACTCACGACTCACAAGGCCACTTTGGGTTCCTGGTGAATGTACTACATATTATAGGAAGGTCTTTGAATTAACTACAGGAGAAGACAGTACTATGTGGGGCAGTTCTACCTTCCATCCCGGTCCCAGTCATACACATCAATCTTCACTGTTCTGAAATGCAGGAGATAAATATAGGTTAGGTGTGTACAATAAATCCTAGATGCACCCCCACTTACTTAACCATAAACAAATCATCCTCCAATATGCCCATCTGTTTTTCCTTCAGCTATCCTCCCATTAGTCCATCCATCCTATTTATTCATTCATCAGCCCATGCACATACCCAGCTATCTACTGCCACTGCCACTGTTTCTTTTACTGCTATTTGTACTGCTATTTCTATTTTTTTAATGTTGATTAGTTTTGAGAGAGAGAGAGAGAGAGAGAGAGAGAAAGAGAGAGCACTAGTGGGAGAGGGGCAGAGAGAGAGGGAGACAGAGGATCCAAAAAGCTGGCTTTGTGATGACAGCAGAGAGCCCAACGTGGGGCCTGCACTCATGAGCTATGAGATCATGACCTGAGCCGAGGTTGGATGTTTAACTGACTGAGCCACCCAGGCACCCTTGGTGTTACTCTTCTTTACTATTTGTTGAGTGTTACTATATTCTAGGCATTGTTATCAGTACTTTCATTGATTGTCTCATTTAATTTAACAACCATCCTATAAAGTACTATTATTCTTATTTTTAGATAAGAGGTACAAAAGACAAAAACTTGACTAAGGACCATAACTAGTAAGTGATTAAGCTGAAACTTAAAACTCAAACATCTTAAAAACAAAAACAAACAAACAAAAAAAAAAAACCAAAAAACAAAAACACACACACAAAAAAAACCCTCAAACATCTTGGTTCCAAACACTTTGTTCCTAACTACTATGCCTGAGTCCTCCTGTATGTCCATATATCTGTTACAGTCCAGACAACCATCTATCTATCCATCTAGACATCCACTTACCCATTCATTTGCCAATCTAATTACCTATTAACACCTATCTTTATCTACCCATATAACTATACATCCAGGCTTTCACTGACTTACTGATGTATGCAAGCATCCGTCTGTCCATTCATATATCTAACTAAACACCCAACCATCTGATGTCTGTCCATCTGATCATCCATTCATCTATATAGCCATACATTTATGTACCCATCCATCCTTCCACCCACCCACTTACTTGTCTTCATACTGTCCATTTATTAGCTCGTATGGTCAGCCTATCCACCTACTTATTAATCAGACAGTTTATCCAATGATCCTTCCATCCATCTACCATCCATTCATCAATCCACCTTTCACTGTTTGTTCTCCTGCTTTTTCAGTCATCCCTCTGCCTCTCTAGTCATGTAACAATCTCTCATATCCCATCCATCTACTCATTCATCCTTAATCCATCCATCATCTATTCATCCACTGATCTGCCCATCATTCCACTTATCCATTTATCTGTTATCCACTCATTCATCTCCCACTATACTGACACACCAAGCCTCTTACACACCCATCCATATACCCATCCATCCATTCACCAGCTTACCCATCCATCCAACCATCCATCCATGTATCTGGTTTTTCATTTGTTCATTTGTCCTTTCATCTACCCATCCACCCATCCATCCTCCTGTCCATCTATGTGGCCATCCATTTGCTTCCCCATTTACCTATCTCCATGCCCCAAACTCTGTCTTGCCAAACAGGATCCTCCAAAACTATTGTTACTTCTGCCATCATTCTGGGGCCAGGAACCCCATTCTCATACCCTTGTTCCCTTAATCCTTAGCTTACGCTGAAGCAGACCTGTCATAGTCTCCATTGCACAGTGCCCGCACAGGGATGCTGAAGGGTTGCCACACAGGATTCAGTGTGTTTTTCACAACCTCCGTCTTGTGGCAGATGGTGAACCTGGAGAGGAGCAAGAGGACTGGAGCCTGCATTGGGGGTAGGACTGAGCCCAGAGATAGGTCCTCATACTCTTGGAGATTCCTGGGATTTCCCCACTTGTTAAACACATTTTGTCCTCTGCCTTGAGTGAATTCTGGGCTCAGGACCCAGTGGAGTCTAAGATGCCCCACATCTAGCCTAAGAGCCATAATGGGCCCATGGCCACAGCTGGGGAGGGGTAGGTGCCACTGGAGAAAGCATTGACTCACGTGCCATCCTCATTGCTCCTATAGAACACAAGGAAGGGATCTGATTTCCCAAAGAAATCCTTCTTGTCCAGCTTGTTTGCACACAGCTGCATGGTGGCAATGTCCTAGGGATGAAGTTTGGCTTGTTGACATCCAAATTGTTCATAGCTTCAAACAGTCCACTAAAGGGGGTTTGGGAGAGAAGGGAGCCTTGTGGGTCTAGCATATGGCCCTTACTGACCCGACAATTGCTAAGCTCCTCTGCAGTCAGCAATATGGTCCCACACTTCTTGCCTGGTACACCCCTGGAAGCAGAAAAGTCCTCTTTGTGAGGGGAGGGAGAGTAGGCAATGAAGATTGGGGAAACCAATCTGGGAGTGAGTGGGCCAGGGATTCAATATGCAATTTTCTGACAGTCCCCTAAATGTATCCCCTTCTGTCCTGGGTTTTCCTGGTGGGGAAGGCCCTGCCTTTGATTGGGAAGAGGGTCTAAGGTCTGTAAGGAAGGGGCTGCTGTGGCCTAGGTGGACATGTTATAATGGTAGCTTAGGAAAGACATAGGATTTAGAATCCTGAGTAGGTTATTTCCCCTTTTTTGGTCCTAGTTTCCTCCTCTATGAAATGGGAATAATTCCCACCTCTCAGGGCTATGAAAAGATCTGAATGAGTACATGGAAGGACAAGCAATTGGGAGGCTTTACTGATATTGAAGGTGGTGATACTTCTCAAAGCAGACTTTGGTATCTACCATATGCCAGGCACTGTGCTAGGTATGAATTGGCCGGATGGTACTCTCCAGTTCTGGTAGACTCTGCCCTCAGAGAGCTGCCAGTGGAATGTCAAAGCTGACAGGCAAGTAGAGTGTGATGTAGTAGTCCTGAATGAGGGAGAGGAATTTCTATCCAGACCTGGGCAAAGGGCTGTTCTGTTAGATCAAAGATGGTGTGATTTCTGAAGAGTGAAATAAATGTGAAGAGTGAAATAAAAAAGACAAAGGCAGCCTTATCCTCTCCTGACCCAAGAAGGGATCCTTCCATGCGTCCTGGGCACATACCAGGACACACCCATCCCCATTTGCCTTGGGTATCCAAGTGATCAGGGGCCTTGCTGATATGGGCCCGTGAACCCTAATTCCCCAAAGGGATCCAAAGTATGCAGAGAGAAATCTAGGTCAGGAGTGTCCTGGGTGTAAGTCCTGACTCCAACTTGCTATGTGATTTTCATCGTTTTTAACATGAATGTTGAACCATTTGTTTGGCTCTTTCGATCTTTGACTCTTTGTGATTTAAAAAGACAGAGTGTGAGGAATACAGGGACTCTTTACCTACACATCCAGGACCAAGTCTCTGATCCTCAGCTTTCTCTCTGTTCTTTGCCTCCTTAATGTTTTCCCTCATCCCCTTGACCCAGTGTGAATTCCAGTCAGTGATTATAATAATCACTCCCCTGCATTCTACTTATCCATTGCTCTTCTGTCACTTCAATATACTTATTTGGCAGAACCACAGCCCTAGTTAAATACAATTCTCTGCCTAAGCCATGCTGCACCCGTGCAACTAAATGTGGTCAGAGGAAAACACAAATCTTGCTAACTGATCTCATTTCTTCTTTTACATTTTATTTATTTATTTATTTATTTTAAGTAATCTCTCCACCCAACATGGGGTTTGAACTCATGACCCTGAGATCAAGGGTCACGTGGTCTACTGAGCCAGCCAGGTGTCCCTAACTGGTCTCATTTTAAAGCATGACCACAAACCTCAAGAGGGTCCTTAATCATACTTCACTCGCCAGTTCTGCTAGATGGCAGTTTCACTCCTCTTCTCTCCTCAAACCTGGAAAGCCTCCTCCTCCCCCATCCTCACTCAGCCCATGACCTTGTTTCCTACTTCACTGACAAGACTGAAGCAACCAGATGAGAATGTCCACGGACCTCCCACCACACCTACCTTGCCTCCAGTATCTTCACCCACGCAACTGTTGCTATAAATGACTATCCATGTGCCTATTTATCCCTCCACTGTGTGCTACATTCCACACACTCTTGCCGGTGCATGGACAGCATTCCAGTAATTCTCTCCTTTTTAAGTTATGTCTATTTTTCAGTTTCTATTGGATCCTTCCCATCAACATACAAATGTAGTATAATTTTTCTCATGTTAAAAAATGCAAACCTATTCTGACCTCACTTCCTTTGCTAACCACTCCTCCTTTTCTCTTCTCCTCTTTGCAGCAAAACCTCTTAAAAGATTCCTTGACTCTCATTCCTGTCTTCCATTCTCTTTTAAACCTCTACAACCAGGCTGTCACCCCCACCTCTTCCTTCAGAACTTCTGATCTGGAGCAGCATTTAACATGGCTTGTCACTCTCTCCTCAATACACACCTTCATGTTGCCTCCAGGATAATACCCCCTTCTCTTGGTCCTCCTCTTACTTCCTTAATGCTCCTTCTTAGTCTCCTTTTTTAACCATCTCATTTATGGCAACCCCATCCTTCTAGGTGTTCAGGCCAAAGGCCTTGGGGTCATCCTTGACTCCCCTTTTCCTCTCACATCCATATTCAATCTGTCAGGAATCATGATGGCTCCCCTTTCAAGTTGTATCCAGAATCTGACCACTTCCCTCCTTCACTGCTACCTTCCTGGATTACTGTAATAGTCTTCCAATAGGAGCCCTGCTACTACCTTTGTCCACCCAAGGTTTATTCTCAATCCAGCACCAGCTTCATTCTTTGAAAACATGGTCAGATCATGTCGCTTCTCTCCTCAGAGCCTTCCAGTAACTCCCAACTCAGAATAAAAGCTAGTCTTTACAGTGGCTACAAGGCCCTAAACTGTTAACTCTCCAATCTCACCTCCTCTTCCTCCTTGCTCACTTGGCTACCGCCACACTGGCCTCCTTACTGCTCTCTGAACATATCAGGCTTTTGCACTGGCGACTTCCTCTGCTTTCCACCTCCAGATATCTGCATGGCTCACTTCCTTACTTCCTCCTGGTCATTGCTCTGAAGTTACCCCTCCATAAAGCCTACTCAAGCGCTCTGTTGAATATTGCAAGTCCCACCCACCCAGCATTTCCGATCCTCCTAATTCTGCTCTACTTTCCCTTTTTTCCATAGCACTTAAGGTCTTCTAATATATAATTTACTTATTTATTATGTCTATTTTATACAGTTTCTCCCCCTCTTCTATAATATAAGCTTCTTGAGGGTAGGAACCTTTGTTTTGTTCACTATTACAACCCAAGCCCCTTGAACAGTGGCTGACATAGAGTATATGCCCAGTAGTATTTATGGAATGGATAAGTTCCTGGTGCCTAGCACAGGGTGTGGCATACAAAACATGCTAATAAGTACTTAGTAAGTGAATGTAATGGAAATTCCAGGGGACTTGATTTAGTGAGGGGAAGCTTCCTGGAGGAAAAGAGCTTGGAAGTGCACCTGAAAGGTAGAATCAGACTTAGAAAAAGTGAGGAGAGAGGGACAGAGTGAGGAGAGAGAGAGAGAGAGAGAGAGAGAGAGAGAGAGAGAGAGGTTGAGAACAAGACAAGACATGTCTTGCCTGAGACT